GGAACAGGGCATGGCAATATCAGCACTGCTGATCGCACGGCGGACATTGAGGACGGCAAACACATTGGACACGCCTCGCGGTGGTGGAGGAGGCGACGGGTAAGGAGCCGACGGACTCTTTGTGTTTTGTGTGCGGGCCACCCAGGCGCCAAAGATCACAAGTGATTGAGGGCAGCGGATGCAGAATTGATAGATTCTGCTTGCTCTTATGTGCAGGTGTCCAGTTGTTGGTATCGTTGGCGATGAAGGAGTCAGGCAGAGCTGATGTTCTGTGTGCGTAGGTCAGCCAGGAGCTGCGATCGCCAGCAATGGAGGAGCAAAATGATGAAGAATTGACTTTCTAGGTTCTGTGTGCAGGTTACCCCTGCGCTACCATCGCCTTCGATGGAAGAGGCAGAGGTGAAGAGCTGGCCGTTTCTAGTTGCTTTGTGTGCAGGCTGCCCAGGCCCTGCGATTTCCGGTGGCGGAGGACCACCGATCCCCGTGAGATCGTGATCGCCACTACTACCAAACAAAACAGAGCGCGTGGGGGACCACTCGCACACCCACACCACACCACAGGCGGCGCCACCACCATGCCACCACCCAGCCAACCGACACAGAACACAGATGCGTAGGGCACAACTGGCAATCTCTCCCGAAAGAAAATTCAAATTCGACAAAGAACCGTCCCTGCACTATCCGTGCACTCCCCGGAGAGCGTTCGCGCACTCCTTGGAAAGCATCCCCGCACTCCCACACACTGTCTGCGCACTCTCCAGATAGTGCCCGCGTGCCCTCCGGATGATAGAAAACGTCCGCGCTCAAAGTGTCCGAGTGCATAGAAACAGCTTTCGATGCGTTCGAGCCATACGCGGACGAAAAAATGTCCGCGTTTTTTTCCAGATTCCACCCCCTTGGACGCTCGGACGCTTCCGGTTAATGCGTGGATTCTCTGGGCGATTTTTTCAGTGCCTCAGACAGTGCCAATAGCACGCTGGGATGAGCTCGGGTGCGTCCAAGCCGCTCGCAAACAGCGCTAACGCCCCCTTTTCCCGTAGTGTTCACAGCATACGCAACGACTCCATGCATCGCCGAATATGTGTAAACTCGACGACCCACTGGATCGCAAATGAAAGATTCCAATGGTTGAGTCGGGGACTGGATCCCAGCGCCATCCCTTTCCACCCACAATTGGCTTCTCAGACTCTTGCAGAAGCCCCTGCTTGGGTCATGCCACGTTTCATCTTGTTAGATCGCGGCCACACACGGTGCAGAAATACAAAAAGCGAAGATCTGCGAGCACACACCACAGCCACCACAAACTCCATCACCGCCTAAAAGTATGGAGCAGCAGCAGTGAATGTCATGAAGACAACAGCGACTGTCTGCGTCAATCCAGCCATGGTGAATGACACACTCAGCGCATTGCGGAAGCCCATGACCAGGCTTGGTTTTTCCTTTTACATTTACGTTTTTGCTTTTACGCTTTTACGCGTAAAAACGCAAATTTGCAAAAGGGCCTATTTTCGCGGCTATTTTTACGTGTTTACTCTACCTGGGACACCCAGGTTACACGATGAAAGTTGCGTACAATGATCAGTCCTGCGTCATCTCCAGCATCCGCAACACAATGTCCACCTCGCCCTTGGCACGAGCGATAATGGCGTTTAACAAAAACTCGTTTTCGGCCCCTTCCAGGGCGTCTGGCTTCCACTCTCCAGACTCTGTAAGTCTGTATGTACTGTCCTTAGGTACACCGGGCAGTTTTTACGTCCTATTTACGTATTTTTACGCGTAAAAACGTAAAAACTATTTTTGCGCGTGAAAACGTAAATACAATCAGTTTTTACGGCGTAAAACCCAAGCCTGCCCATGACAACGTGCGTGTTGGCCAGGTTCCTAACTATGTTGGGATGGCTGAACAGCGCGTATCTGCCCCACGCCATAATCTCCGTAGGCAACAGGAATCTGGAGAGCAGCATGAACCCTGTCCACAGGCTGTGTCGAAACCCAAGGGAGGCCAGTACTGGGCTCGCTGTCATGCTGGAAACTGTACAAGACGCCACAAAAGAGGGCCCTCGCACCCGCCCAACTGTTTCGATGATTGCTGTTATGACTGGCAAAATTATCAACACCCATGCAGTCGCCACGAGGAAGATATCGTCGCAGATAGCGCCACACAAGTCATGGCAGCGGCATTCTTCCGTCCTATTTCCGAGCGGTGCGCCTTCGCCATCAGTGCAATTCAATTCGGGTGCCATCAAAGTTCTGGCAGTCGGGATCAGACTGCGCTCTTCAAACGTTATTATGTCCTCTCTCGCCTGCGCATGGTTCACGGTTCCTGCAGCGCCCAAAATGGTAACTACTACGACTGTGAGCCCAAAGTACCCAAGATGGCGGCGATCCTTGTGACGTCCCGTTGAGCCTATCCGCTGCTGCTTCACTCGCCTGTTGACCATCTTCTCTGCGCACACAGCAGAAAACCTGGTGGGGAAGCACGGTGGAGTGCGACTCCAAGCCAGGGTCCCATGGCATATATGCGTATATACGTATATACGTATATACGTATGTATGCGTCGACATGTGTGCGCGACTGCTGCGCGTGTCAGTCGTCGCGCATGCCGAGGGAACACTGCAAGGGCACAAGAGCGGACTATTCCACCAAGTTATGCCCACATACATCAGAATCCAAGTAGTGCCGCAGCCTTCTTTCTGGAAGCATATGGTTTGCGGGTAGCTGGTATATGCATGCATACAAGTGCGCACTTGGTATGTACCCAGCTGCTCAGAGGACTACTGTTTCAGCAGAAAACTTTCAGCGCTCATGTATGTCACATCCACTTATGTGCAGTAGAATCCTCACGCTCGCGAATTTGTTAGTCAACTATTTCCCGCAACAAATGCATAAAAAGACTTTAAACTGCGCACCAGCTGCTTATGTTGAGACAATGAGCTACTGCCCAGGCATTTACACTCTCAGGATCACCCAAAAGGCGTGTAATTTGCTTTTAATAGCTGCTGGAGGAGCTGTAGATTTGCTGCAATTACGGCCACCGGTGATCGAAGATTTTCAATAGAGCCACACATGCGATTGAAATCACTGAAGACCTGATGACGTCTACTATGACTAGTGAAGCTAATATCTATATATCAATATTGGAAGGACCTGCCAATAGTGGAGAAGGTCCGTTGCCAGTCATCCCCTTGGTATGCAGTGAGCATGACGCGGATGTTTCTCCGTTCCGACTACGGCAAAACCCGCACGAAACGTAATTACGTGTAGTAGTATAGTATAGACTATATATACTAAGTATATACGTATAGTAATTATAGTTACTATATGCATGCATGAATACGTGTAACACACGGCGTTCACGCCCCAAATACCAATGCTGTCCAGCGCGTTTAAGACCTTGGCACGTCTGCCATGTGGATGATCTAACTCTGAGCCAGGTGGATCCTGCTTTCGGCAGCAACGATTGCGTACGATTTCAGCCCCAAATTTTCCTAGGAAATCCAACCAATTTTCTTGCGAATTGTGCTGGCTTGTTTTTTCTAGGAGCAAGCATAGTGTAGCTACGCGCGTTTATGCGAAAATAATATTCTTTAATTTTTATTCGTAAAAACGAGTAATAGTGTGTAATATGCCCAGGCCCTGTGCTCATAAACTTCTGGGCACAAGTGCATTCAGGAGTCCGAGGAGTGGCATCCAGACGCGCTGGATTGTGCAGAGGATGCACTAGGAAAAAACAGGCCAGATGACACAGTCTTGACACGGTCTGCTCAAAATCCAGCCGTGTACTTTCGGCAAATGTGGTCCCAAAAGTACACATTTAGTACACACATTGACACAGTTTTAACCGTGCATCCTAGGAAACCGTGTTGTCTACACAGTTGTTTGAGAGCACACGGTTGAAACTGTGTCAATGTGTGTACTAACTGTGTACTTTTGAGACCACATTTGCCGAAAGTACACGGTTGGATTTTGAGTAGACCGGGTCAGGACTGTGTCATATGGCCAGTTTTTTCCTAGTGATGACAGCGTCGTGGACGCTCAATGATCGACGAAGTCGATGCCCTTGCCAGGGGCGAGGTGGATGCTGTGCTGCTAGTGGTCGGATGGGTGGCGGACTGATCGTTGTTTGCCGCTTCATCATGTACAGTGTGTACGTAAAAAATGGGGGGGTTCTCTGTTTATGCATTTGCCGCATAAAACAGGAAACATAAAAATGGTGCCGTCAAAGCAATGGGAGGCAGCACGGCCATCCTGGCATGCGCTCGCCATTTATAAATACAGGTAATTACCTGCACCGCGACAGCCCTCATTTTTCTCGTGCTCGGTCCCTGTCGACATGCGCACCTGGGCAACCAGGAATTGGTGGCTAGGAGTTTCTGCCGTCCTTTTCGACCGCTTTATGTGTCTCATACAACCCCCAAGGGTGTTTCCTGCCGTCAACCACCAGCAAGGCCTGCCCACATCCTCGCCCCTTGGTGCACCAGTTTGTCCTGGATGAGGTGTGGACCCAAACCACTTGCGTTGCCAGGACTACAATGTACTGGACGCATTCTTCTGAAATTCCATCAATGCACATTTTGCAGAATTCACGCTCGTCGTTTCTCCGGAGCACCGTCGTCCTTCAATTTCAGCTGCAAGAATGAAAATTGCCGCAGGCAAATTCGGGGTGGCACAGCGCAGCTATGGCAAATGATGCAGTTTCCCGGCGCAATGACCTCCCAAGCTCACCGCATCAAAGCCATTTTGCGGTCGTGTCCCCCCTCGCGATCCCATCCCCTCAGGACGGATGCCGTCCTCCCCAGCTGCGCCCCAGCTTCCCCTGGCGTCCCGGAACCTGCCGCGGACGTCCCACCCTCGTGCCGCCCAAATCGCGGCCCCTGCCCACCGGCGCACCCAGTTCCCAGAGCAGCCAGCCGCGACACACCACGCGGCTCCCAGTCCCCTTCCCTCCTCCCTCCCCCCATTCACGCCAAACGGTCCCCAACAATCGGTGCGGGGCGCCATGAAGGTGGTGGTGCGGGGAGCCAGGAGGCGATCGGCCGGCGAGGCAATCCCTCGGGCAGAAGAGGAGCCGTCCGGATCCTCTGGGCAAGTTGCCGACGGACATGCGGCCTTTGAGGTTGACGGACTGCGACCCGAGGACGAGATCTTCGCGCGCCTGGGTGAAGCTGGCTGCGAGCCCCCCTCGTGCTTCACGCACCGCGGCAGGAAGCTCGGGGCGGAAATCCCTGCCGCCCTGCCCGTGGAAGTGGCACCGAGGGGGACCAAGCCGGCCCTGGGCGACGAAGGGCTGCGCATGCCGTGCGACGCCACCTTTCTGAGGTTCTATAACGACGTGCTCAAGTCGCGGGGACTGGGAAACCGCAGCCGGCCCTGGACCACGGTTCGACTGGACCACGATGAAAACTGTGCCGTTTTTGAATGTGGGCTGAGGGTGGAATTCAGGAGGGCCCTGAGGGTGGATGGCGGCGATTTGAGGGGAGCGTATCAGAGGGGGCTGGGCGTCCTTCCCCTGTGCCGGGCGCACGACTTCAGGGAGGGGCTCCCGGTGGGCTGGCGGCGGCGGGGGGGAGCGTTCGCGGCCCTGCGGCAGCGGGAGGCCATGTGGGTCAACTTCGACTGCCGCTTCAGCGGGAGCGGGGGCTGCGCGGTGAAGGTGGGAAGTACGGGGGACTGGGGACGCCGGTGGATGGGTGCCAATGTCGAGCATTTGGGGTGGTGGTTGTGCATTGGGTTGGGCTGGGCGCGCTGGGGAGCGTGCAAAATTTCGGCGGAACAGACTGCGGCGCAAATTGGCTGCCAGGGACAATGGCTGGCACGGCCGTGCCCAAACCAGGGCATCCAAATCGGCGGCTGATTTGCTTTTCGTCATGCTGCAAGCGGCTACTGGCTTAGATATGGGCGCACTTTATAGTACAAATGGTACTTCAACAGGATGAAGTATTGAACGTGAAGAAGTATTAACCATGATTACACGAATCCATTCAAAACTGAAACCAAAATTGGAAGTGAAAAGGCAGAATGCCTGTGGCCGATGTGATTTCGGTAGGCTTGGATCGACTATTGGACAGAATGTGTGTCTTTCCGGCGTAGTTCTTGTTTTACACGAGGAAAGTCTCTCAGTGCGAGGTTCCCAAAGTGAACACTTGCTATGGCTGCACTGACTAATACAATCCAAGAAATTTGAAAAACTAGTACTGGGCCCGTGCTGGAACACGCTGGACAACATGCCATGCTCCACGCTTTAAGCCGAATAGTGTCTCAGATTTGCCGAGTCCAGGGAAACTGGACAGCGTAGAGGCTGAAACATGCCAACCACGATATGTACATCTAATTTGAGGTGCATATTGATATGGATTCACTGCAACAGGTCAAGTCTCTCTTTCCACACGTTTCTGGAAGCGTGTGGCCACCAAAACGTTTCTGAAAACTGTGTACTGATATTGTTTGTCTGAAAAGTGTAAACGTGCAGCGCAGACAAATGTTGTGTGATGGTGTAAGCACGGCCTGACTGAACAGGAGAAACGGGCCAAACCCCTGTGGCATCAACTGCCTTTTGATGGTGCTCTTCGCCAGTGCGCTCGGTGCATCTGCGGCAATGTGAAAGCATGAAACTTGATTGCAGACAACAGCGCATCGCCAACGGCAAATGAATAGCTTGTCCAATGGCTCAGACTGTGTCTGCCCCTCCAGGTGCGGGTCGGGAACACCAACGCAGTGTCGGGCAGACCGTGGGAAGGCGGGCTGAACTCCGACCCTCTTGATCACATCGTGTGCCCAAACCACGCTTGGCTTGCCGGCATCAACGACGGCAACGGTGGCATGCGGCAGTTCGGGCCAATGCCGCTCAACAGCGGCGGCTGCGGCAGCCTTGCGGATCCATGGCGAGAGAGCCACACGGTCATCACGCTGGAGGTGTATCCCCCGCTGCGTTCGGACGTCAAATTCTTGGCGGCGGACGTCAGTGGGACTGAGGCAGGGGAGGGGCGACGGGACGGCGACGCGTCGGTTGCTAACGGCGGGCCCCAAGCGACTCCGTGGCGCGAGGAAACTTTTGGGGACGGTGGGAGAGACGAGGGGGAGTGCAAGAGTGTTTGCATGCATCATGGCCGCGGGTGCGCATGCATGCATGGTGGCTGCGAGGGCACACGCATGCAAGCAGCCGTGTGCGGGGGGCCCGACCGCGGCGCGGCGGCGGCGCAGGGCGCCTGCCTGTCGCCTTCGGAGATGAGCGTATCGCCTACAGGCTCTGGAAACGGGGCGCTCAGCCGGGCGGATGGGGCGGAAGGGGTTGATGAATTGGATTCGACGATGCAGGCGCCTGGACCCGTGGCTTGCGTCAGTGGGCCAAAGCACGCACCAATCGATCCCGGGGCACGGCCACGATCGGCAGCTGGCGAGTTCAGTTTTGACCCCGAGACGACGCCGGAAGAGTGCGGCCTGCGCCCCGGAGACGTGGTGTGGATGGAGGCGGTGGCTCTGGGCACCCGACCCCTGTTGGTTTCCGACGTGGCCGGCACCTCCAGCCCTGATGTCGAGCTGACCGCGCGCTACCCGTTCGGCGTCTGCGTCCGCACGCTCGTCGGCGCGGACGTGCCTCTCACTGTGTGCTGGGCCACCACGGGCGGCGACCTGAAGCTCATGATCGAGGATTGCGTGGGGGTGCCCCCGGTTCAGCAAGGGCTGACATTTGCGGGCCGGAGGCTGCAGGATGAGGCGCCAATCGGCGATCAGGGCGTGGGCGAGGGGGCCGTGATACACCTCGTTTCTCACGTGCGCGGGTCGGACGTTTTTGAGCAGTCGGTGGAGGGCAAGCTGCTGCGGCTGTGCGACGCGCCGCAGGGCCACAGGTCGGCCAGCATGGCCGACTGTCCGCGGCCCTCGCACTGGGACCTCGATGCCAAACAGTGCCTGCGGCTGGCGATCTTGACAACCGCGGACTTCAGGGCGGTCACGGGGCAGGACCCCCCGCCCACGCCGGTGTCCGCCCTCACCTACCACTCCCACGGCGTTCCCTGGCGCGACTGCTACGACGCGCCCGCGCCCGCCATCGATCGCGCCAAGATCCTGGTCGATCTGGCCGCATCGGCGTCCTTCCACGTCGAACGGGAGGACATCATGGAGGAGCGGACCTGCCCCGTGTGCAGGTACAACGCCTGCAACGCCGAGCTGGTGCCATGCGGCCACGGATTCTGCGCGGATTGCGCGGAGGCCGTCGCGGACATCCGGCCAATCAAGTGCCCGGTGTGCCGTGGGCGATTCACCAGGATCGCGGATTGGTCCCAGGCGCTGGGGGAGGCCGATGCGGCGATGGAGGCCGACGACTGCGCGGTGGCCTGCCTGCACACGGAGTCGGCGGAGGGCGTGGGAGGGAGGGAGGTCAGGCCGGACGGCGAGCTGTCGGTGTTCTGCGACGACTGGCTGAGCTGCTTGCTGGCGAGGGACTGTCCTAGGTGGAGGAGTGGGGAGGACGGGGGGTCGGGCTGGCCCTCGTCGCAGTGACGGGTGGCCCAAGGGCTGTGGATAGGATTTGTTACAAAGGGAGAAGGAAACAGGTCAGACAAAGGGCACCCACCCAAGCAAATGTCGACCGTCGGGCGGATTTTCGAGATTGGGAACAGACGCGAGAGCAGCGCCCGGTGGCGTTCCGCTCCAGAGCTGTTTTGTTCGGAAACTGCTGTGGAATGACGGCAGAGGGGAAGGAAGCAGAGAAGATGCTTGGTTTGCGGGTGTGGTGGCAGAGAGCCCGTTGTTCGCCGTCGAGTGGTGAAATGCGAGTTTGAGAGGGGACTGATACGTTGGTGACGATTTGGCAGCAAGATAAGCGAGAGGCGTCGCTCCTTGTCAGGAACTGAACCGGAATGTGGGCCATTGCAGAATGCAAGTCATCTTCTCCTCTGCCCATTAAATGGGGGCGGGCGTGGGGAACGAGGGGTGCACTGAGCCAGGGAGTGTTCTAGGCATTAGGATAGCAACACCCTTTAAGTCAATTTGGACAATGGCAATGGCCTGCTGGGCGAGTGCCTCTTGTTTGCGTGCATCTGCGCAAGTGCGAGTGCCAGGCGCCAGGCGGCGTATTCCCTTTTCGAGTGCATTGGAAGTGACACAGTCGTGGACAGACAAGCACACTCCAGCAGACAGCGCGACAACTGAAAGATGGCCGCAAAAGCACGTCTGGGACGCCTCTTAATCGTGGCGTGGCGTAACATGACAGCTCCAATACAACCAGGATAGGGCTAGAGGCTGCGTGAACATCAGGATTTCTTTTGCAGAGCACGGCAGCTCTGGCCCAGATCAGTTGGTAGCAAGGCAAGCCACACGAGTGTTTCCACCTCAGCCAGAATACATACAGCAATGGTGTACGTAACGTATTGGTGTATATAACTGTGGTGTTCATATACAATATGTACAATGCTGTATATATGTAGTGGTGTATATAGCTGCACACTGTCAGGCGTGCAGTTTGCAACAGCACAAACAAATTCGTACAATCGAGATAGCCTTCTGCCATGTGGTTGTGACCTGCCTCTACTCTGACACGACTTCCACTTGCATCAGCAGAATTCATGCACTAAAATTCGGCCCACTCATCCCACAAGTCCTCTGCTATCGCTTACAGACTCTTACCACAAACGTGGACAGCCATGTCCACCATTCCCAGAAGTAAACTGCTTCATGGAGATCACGGCGCCAGGGGAAAATTGGCGAAACAAGCAATTCCCTGGTGAAGGCAATCACCTTATTCTGCCCAACCGACAGTGACGCCATGACTAACAAGGCTGACAGTTCATCCACACCCAGCTGGATGAGCAGCGCATCGACACCACACAGGTGAAGCCAATGCCTTTATTCTTGTCATTTATTTTCTCCAATCATCAAATCGCGTGCTCACTGCGGATATCTGAGGTGTGCCTGCACAAACCTCAGTGCCGATATCACCTCCATTGCACAGCTCCTCCTTGGTGGCAGCCCATGAAGTTCACGTCGGTGACTGCTGAGGCTGCCGTCTGAAGCCCTCCACTGTGGCCAGAACGTGCCCGGTCTCCCCCATCGCCACGCCGAGACTCGGTCCCTGGGCAAGGCCCATCGCCAGGGGTTGCCCACCCGGGAAGGGCGCCACACCCACCCTTGAAATCCCAACCCCTGTGCTGAGCGACAGTGTTTGACCAGCCCCCATCATGGGACTTCCATGGGCTGCTGCCCTTGGTGGCGTCGCAGCGAGCTCTGCAAAGGGGTCGAGATCGCTGAGGGGCTGGCTGAGAGCTCGCCCCTGGGTGATCGACCGCGGCATCGATCGTGCATTGGATTGGTTGATACCGGCCATCTGCATAGTGCCGATCTGTTGGCCGGCTCCAGTCATCTGCAACATGCCCAGCTGCGGGCCAGCCTGTGGCATGGCTGCGAAACTGTGGCAGGGGTCAGGCGTTCGAGCCACTGGTGCAGACACCTGGCGGCCTAATTGTCGTTGCTGCACTGTGGCAGTGGCCGTTTGTGCGTAGGGGTCGGGGCTCGGAGGGGCGCCAAATGAGGGAAGGTCTGCAAAAGGATTGAAATTGGCATCTGGGGAGCAAGCAAGGATGGGTTGTGTTGGAATGCTGACGTCCTGCAAGATAAGTATGACATGGGTGAGCAAGTACTTTGCACACTACTCTTCGTTCCCCTCCCCAACCTGTCCTGCAGGGACAACTGCTGCGATATGCTTTGAAAAACATGACAGCCCAAATTTGTGTCACTAAGACCGAGCGCTTGTGGTCACCACAAAGGAGCCAATCAAAGGGTGATGAGAACTTACCGGCTGGCTCTAATTCAGAGAAGATGGCTCATTTCAGGAATGACATGTTCTGCGGTCAGACCTTTTTGGTTTACATCAAGTGAGTCTGTTTTGCTGCTTGTGCCCTCCGGTCTCCCCTGGTGCTTCGGCGCAGCAGTTTCATGCCGATCTCCAGGCACCACCAGCCACAATTCAAGTGTGTTCCAATTACGCAGCCATTGTGAAGCCAAGTGTGAGCATTACGCTTAACAGCTCACAAGGAGGAACCCACAGTGAAATAAAGAGGACATCCTCACAACAGCTGACTCCTTTTGTGCACAACAAACATGCCAGGAATACCAATGTATCTCATCTGTCCCAGTTTAAGTGTCCTTTATAACTTGGTGCATTTCCTCACTGTGAGGGCGAGGGAGCAGCTGATATATTACATGTGATATGTTGTGTTTCTGTGATGGAACGTAAATATGGTGAACAAGGTGTTATGCTGAATGTACGTGGTCACAATGGAGACGGGGAAGTGAACATTATTGCAGTGAATGTTATTCAGCTGATACACTCATACTGTAACACATCTGTTCTGGCCTCGGTTTCAGTACCTGGGAGCAACCGTGCACAAGAGTGTTTGGTCAACCTGATACTCACCATCACAGAGGCTTCGTTTCTCAATAAAATTTCGTCCAAAGTTGTGCTTGTGAATTTGGAGAGTGCAGTCAAACCACCAAGTCAAACCTTTAAGCATAGTGGATTCGGCAGTACTTTGTAGCAAGGGTCCTCTGTCTAACAAGCTTCGAAAACTTCGCTTATAGATGGAAAAATTAACTCTTCCCCTAAAGCTCAAAGGCGTTGGGGGTCACTTTTTCTTCTTGAAATTGGTCGTTGAGGTTTTTGGAGCCCAGTCTTTTCGATTCTGACCTTCTTCTGTAATTTTGAGGCTATCCTTGTAATGAATTTTGTTTTTCGAATGAAGGACATCTAATATGGGATAGAGGAAGCATCATACATACAATACACAAAAACGGTATACAGTACATACCAGCGATATCTTACATACAATACATAAAAGGTATGCAATACATACCAATGATATGTGTCCAGACAATCGAATTTACCTGTGAAGGTCGAACTGCCAAGCTGGCGAGAGCGTCAGAAAGACCATCCTCCAGTTGACCCAGGCCAAAGGGATCTGTGCTTGTCATGGCTGTGGCAAGCGATGCGTTGGCGGGTGTGGTATTCGTGGGAGCGACAATGGTCGCAGTCACGTTGGCAGGCACCAAACTGGCAGGTACACCACTGGTGGACTGGTGGGCACCTTGGTGGGCACCTTGGTGAGCAACAGGTGCGCCAACATCCCTGGGGATGCTGTGGTCCATGCCAACCACCGAAGCGCCCTGTGGGACCTGTCCCACCGAAGAATCCTCTTCCGCCTCCTGCCCTTCTTTCCCATGGCAACCCTTCAATTCCTTGTAGAGTGAGATTGCAATGTTGACCCTATCCAGAGCCTCCAGAGCTGGGCCCAGCAGGGCCTCGGACTCTGGTTTGTCTCTGCTGCTGACCTTCTGAATGAGGGCGGGCATCTCCTTCTTCAGGTACTCAAGTTTGGCAAGCAGTTCCTCAAGCAAGCCCTCCTCCAGTTGCCCTGGCTCTGCATTCCTCAGCATGTCCTGGAACACCTCTGCGCAGCACATGGTCAACGTCAAACGTTGGGATACGCGCTCAGGTCAGGGCCTCCCAGGCTCCAAGCAGGTCTTTGGATAAAATGATTGGAGCTGCAAGTGAGAAAGACGGCATAAACTGCAAAAGGAAAAGAGATGCACTGCCCTGCAATGCCGCTTCACTGGATGGGAGCTGCACTTACTATTCTCAACAAAATCACTGAGCAAAGGCTCCGTGCAATCCTGGTTCTGATGCATAACCGAAATGGGCACAGAAAAGGCATGGTGTGCCCTGAGCCATGGTGACTGAGACATCGACAGCAGCACATATGCTAGATTACGAACTTTGGTTGCACTGATGGTGGCAACAGACATAACACTTGACAGGCCTTGCTTCCACTTTCTATTCCAGGGCTCTAACTGTTTGGAGCCCTGGAATGGAATGTGGAAGCAAGTGCCACCATGGATCAAGTGGTGCTCAGCAATGTTCCTGCAGAGAATACGAAAGGTTGCAGCAAACCATCGATCTGCACCAACTCGTCACATCAATTCACCAGTGGTTTCTGCCTGCCATTCCACCTGTGTGTGATTTGGACATCTCTGTGGCATGCTTGAGCTTCTGTATGCTGCTGCGCCTCCGTCCCGGCGACATCAGCTCCTCACGTGCAGGTGACGTGTTCCCATCTTGGGCTGGAGATTCGGACTGGGTGTCCCTTGGAGATGTCGAGCTCTGTCCCTCTCCTACAGCAGCAAGCCTGTGCTGAGGCATATGGACTTGCACCAAGCCAGCAACTTAATCAAGACGTCGAGCTGCATAATGACATCTTGTGCTTCCTCTCAACAATTGAAGCAAAACACAAACAATGCAGGCAACAACATTTGCCGCCAGCACCTCTACTGATATGCCCCGGTGCTAGCACAGTTGCTGCAGCAGGTAATGGCATCTGCAAACTGCCTCTGCAGCTATCCCTCTTGGCCACCAGCCACCAGACTGCAGCTTGTTCTTGGGAATCGCAGCCAGCCATTGCCAGTGCGACTTCAAGCACAGACACACATTATGATCAAGTCTTTTCTTCCATGTTTTCCATTTTCTTGTGACCACATCTTGCCTATGGCTTTGAATGTACGGCTTCTACTGGACATGACGTGTGTGGGGGTTGATTCCACAAATGTTGGTAACTTGGCACAGCTGTGTATCAGTACACAATGCACTGACTCAACACACACAAAGTCTTACAATGACACTGCACGTGCATAATACCTCCTGACTGTGTAGATGTGGGCCCAGCTGAAGCCTGCATCCCCATGTTCCAATGCTGGCTGTAATCCATTCCTGTGACCGCTTTGAAGGCTGCCTCACCAGCCTTGCCATGGCCCCTCAGCACGTCGTAGGCAGCTATCCTTGCACTGAACCCAGCACAAGGAAAGTTGCAAGGGAGGTCTCTCAGGATACAGCGTACTGACAACAACAAGTTGGAACACCCCTCCTCGAGCATTTCCAAACCAGTTCTGACTTCAGCAGTGATTAACCACCCTGCTGCATCTCTTCAGGGCTTGAGAATGCACGAGTGTGCTGATCGTTGGAAATGTGGACAAGCACCTAGGGCGACCGCCCGCAGAACATAACCTCACACAATGATGCTGATGACTTCACACAATGAGCTCACACAATGACAATTTACATCGCCATGCACTCTCTTGCCAGTTGGCACAAGGCTTGCATACCCTTGTTTTAGGACAGGTGTGGCACCTGGACACTGAAAAGTGATGCAGCATTTTGGAAACACTAAAACGTGCGAAGTTCACAAGGGCAGGTATTGGGGGATGTTCCATGCACGAGTTTTCCATTCTCTGTGACATGATTCACAGGCCCCGCGATCACAGTACTGCCAGGTACAATCGTTGAGCAATAACAAGAGACCATGTGATAGCTTTCAAGGCACCCACCCTTTCGCCTCGGCTGTGTCAGGCTTCGATGGATAAGCGGCCACGGCTGCCACCTCTGCCAGAATGTCCTGCAGGATGTTCTGAGACTTCACCCTCGTGGCACATTTTGCCAATATGTGCTTGGTCAGTTGCACAGCCAGGTACTGCTTGTGTGGGTTGTCAGAGCGCAGCCTTTTCTTCAGCACTGAAACCAACACCTGATTAAGTGCAGCAAACACAAAATCAGCAACTACAGCTCCTGAATCACGTCAAAGCTTGCAACCACAAGAGGACAGCGCAATGCTCTGAGGTCTGCACTTTGGTGGTGCTGTTTCCCAGCTTGCAGATTGCGCTTGCAAGAATCGCCTCCACGCTTCCCTGTGGTATATTCCAAGGCACTGAACCATTGTGCAATCCCTTCTGCAGCAATAACACTGTTGTCACGTGCATTCATCTGAAATGTGTGGCTGGAGCACTTGTTCGCTGTCAAAGCATAGCAGCATGGTGGAGCGGAAGCACAATGAGAGCCTTCCAGGATCTCCAAGGAATTATTCCCACCAAATGTGGGCACTTGCATACTTCCAAATGCTGTTGCCAGTGGACTTGCATGAAGTACAGAAACCTGGGAGTTTTCCATCTCCACCCAGGACTGCAAGGCCCACAAACAGAGCCAGGAACCACATACCCACCCAGGGGCCAGTGTTTTGTCCGCCTGACCCACAGGCAACATTGAATGCAAAGGCGTGCGCCAAGGCGACCGAAATCGCTTCGCAGTAACAGCACTCGCCTCGGAACTGACTGCCAGCCCGGACTCCTTCTCATTGATGGCCAGCACAACCTGCGGCCACATCACCCCGCCCCCCCTCAGTCAAAGGCCGCAAAGGTCAGGAAAACGTTGACAGCCAGGATAGTGCCTGTTCCTTGGGCCCGCCCGACGCTGGCGTGGTCGCGACCGACGGAACCAATTCCACGCCGGAGCGAACGCTGCGTCGAATGGCGTACCACGGCCAGCTTGTCCATTTGGGGCGAATCGGCTGCCGCGGTCCACAGAGTGGCCACATCGGAGAGGTGGTCTCAAAGGGCCGCGGACCCACGCACCCATCCCTGGCCTCGAGTCCTCCGCGCGAGTCCAATCGCGCACCAGGCCCAGCCCCGTCAACCCGCACCAGGGAGCGAGCCACAGCCGTCGAGATGTCGACGCCACCCAAAGGTCCCACGACAAACGGAGAGCGATGGAGTCGAGAGGCCCGCCATTTTTCCATGACGCCGCCACCCGCGGAAATCCGACGTTTGCGCTGGCGCCGGGCGGCGACCAATCGCAACCGGCCCTCTCCCTTGTACACCCCGCGGCTTTGCGCATGTCTTTTCCACAGCGATGTCGCTCCAGAGGAACATCGGGGCGCTCCCACCGGCCGCAATCCCACCCCGCGCCCGGCTTCGAATCGTCGAGATCCCGGCGGGCGCAAGTGACGTCCGGAGCGGCCAAGCCGAACCCCAAGCCGGCGCGTCCAAGGACGCCGGCGCGATTGGCTCCGAAGGCGGCGCCACTCCTCCCCGGACAATGTCCAGCGGACGTGCACCCCGAACGCCGCGAGAATCCCCCACGCGGCCGTACCGGGCCGACTTCAACGCGCTGCACATTGGTACGATGGAGTGCTCGGAAACGATCAGTCAATCCATCTCCGACTCACCTCGCCGTTCAGCTCGCGGCTGGGCTCCTTCAGCGTCTTGGCCGTGGCCTGGCGGCACAGGTTCTCGAACGACTGCCCCTGCAGGTTGGACTGGTAGCTCTGGTTCCTGAACAGCGTCTCCTTCAGCCTGTTCATATCGCCGATGAGGCCCCGATGTCCTGGGGCGCAATTCGACGTCTCGGTCTCGTCGCCCGCTCGGGCTGCTCGGCGCGGTGGCGGGAGGGCGCACAGGGCACAGGCGCGGACACGGGGCGTTTGGAGCCGGTGGTTGTCCCGTACCGCGGACGGTGTTGTGGGTTGGTGGGGGCCCGGCGTGCGCCGAGGACGCCATACAGTGTCCCGCTGCGCCGCCCGACACTTCGCCGGAGTTGCGCGGACGTTGCGAGCGCGGAACCTGCGCGGCAGCCACTCCGGTCGCGGCCCTGACCGCGCTGTACTCTGATGCGCGGATGGCGGCCCGTTGTCGGAGTTCTGGGCGGTCGTGGTGCTGGCCGCCGTGCTTTAAGGCGCGGTTGGCTGGCCGTTGTTGGAGTTTGGGGTGAATGCGGGTGTCGTATGGAGGCAGAGCAGATCCGGCTGAGCGCCTCCCCTTGGTGGTTGTGACCACGAAGGCATCCGATTGGCGCGCACGGGCGGTGCAAAGGACAGGTCGGTGGCCCGCCCCACAGCATGAAATTAGTCGCTCCGTCTTTTCCGTGAAGAACCCTTCTCGTTTCAACCCCCCAAGCCCTGAGCCACTGATCCGCGTTGGCCTTGTCAGTGGAACGAGGGATCCTCAAGAAAAGCCAAGGGACTAATATATTCTTGCGTAGAATTAGCCGCAATGGCATCGCTCAGCGCCAAATTGCCTCACAATGGGCACTCCCAACACGCCGTTTTCCGCCGCTGCCTCCGGCCACTTCCAACCAGATCGCCACCCCCGCCTCTCCCCCCCACCATGCAGGCCCTGCGCCACGCGCTCTCCCGGGAGGCTTCCGCAGGCAGGGCGGCCCCGCCACAAGCCCCCTGCGCCCTCCCCCCGCCCCACGCCCTCCGCCCCGGCCGCCGAACCCCTGTCCTCCCATTGCCCGCCAATCCCCACCACCCCCATGGCCGCCGCGGGCGGGCGCCAGCATGCCTGGCGGCATCCGGCGAAATCTCCGCCGATTCCAAGCTCATCTCCGAGCAGGAGATTCCCGCATTCATTCCGCGGAGCGACATAATGACCCAGGTCTACCGCTGGGCCAACATTGAGGCGGGCACGAACGGGATGCAGAACTTCGGGTCGCAGATGGACGTGCGGCCGTTCTACAGGGAGGGCCGGGAGGGGGAGGAGGAGGAGCAGCGGCTGTGGGGCTTCGACGTGGAGCTGGTGGACGACGGCGCGATGGTGTGCAGGGTGTGCGTGAGGATGGACACGGAGGTCGTGGAGAAGCCGGACTTCATCGGGATTGGGCAAGATGGGTTCCCGGTGAACGAGGGGGGCACCACGTCCGTGGAGGGGCGGTTCTTCCAGATTTGGTGAGCGCTGCGCGTTCTATTCTCTGCCATCCTGCGGAGCGCATTCTCGATGGCGGTCATGCACGGTTGTTGACTTTGTTGGAGCAACGAGGAATTCGTGATGTGCCGCCAGCACACGAAGGCGTGCCAATGAACGAGTGTCGGTGGCCGAACAGGGCGTTGTCTGTGCTGGTCTGTTTGAAGCGGAAGTTGATGTGCAAGGCAGGTTTGTGGCCTTTGCATTTGTCGAGCTGCGTGCTGCAGACTGGAAACAAAGCTCCTTTGCTGTGTGTGGTCGTTTTTCTGTGTTGGAAGCCACAGCAACATGCCGTGCAGATGAACACCCTCCTGTGTCAAGAATGGGTCAGAATCTGTTCTGCATGACGACATGATAAACAGATTGTGCAATAGCGTTTGTGATGGTATGTTTGTGTGTGTCAGTGCTGTCATGCAATGCACTCCTCAGCGGCAGGGAACAGCCGTCCAACTATGTGACAGAAAACGAATCCCAGACATGCACACACAACGTAGAATGCGCCCGAACCTGCCAATCCCCTTTGTACCATCACCGTTGTCATCAAATGCCTGTTGGCTGGATTGTACATCCCCCAGACAATCTCCAATAACATGGGGTGGTATTTTTCCTGTGTCATCACAAACGGCTTCCTGTTGTTAAATACAGCCAATTTGTAATCCTGGGGTTGCCTCTGCTCCCTGATTGTGGGCTGTATGGCCAGCAACATCACCTACCTTTTTTCACATCTCTGAATGGGTGTTGTATGCACAACACAGGAAAGTCGGTGACGAAGTTGTGACGGACTCCATTCGGGAGGTGTTGCGGCTGTTCTGCACATCTTTGATGCATGCCATCAACAAGTACTATGCCTTTGGGTCGTGCTTCACTGATGACCTGTAACACATTGAGGGCAGTGGGACTGGGCAGTGGGCGCCCGCACTGTGGCTTGTTTCCTTAGAAAAGATTGACTGTGGCTCATGCATAGGTAGGACAAGCCGAAACCAGGCTGGCGATGCAGGATTCACTTTGTTGTGGGTATCTTTTCGGAGGGCATTGATGCTCTGGTTTTGGCAAACGCACATCCGGCAGTCAGAATTTGACGTGCTGCACTTGTTGCACAGCGAATCCCTTGAATACACAGTAGTACGGTAAGCTAGTTTGGATCATAACATTCTGCAGGCTAAGATAATCGAACTTCTGTCCAAACAGGACTGCAAGCGAGCAGGACTGTCCAACTCATGGTAGTTTTGGCATCTGCTCTGGCGTCAAGCAACTGGCACAGCTGTGGAACCTCTTGGGGGCTAAAATCTTCAGAAACTGCAACCGATTCCTTGTTGCTGAAATTCGGTGTCGCGGGGTTGTCCAATTCTTCATTCTCGTATTGATCCCACCCCATCTCAAATTGATCCCTCCCATCGGGACATGAAAATCTAGCTCCAAATGCTGCAGAGCTGCCAAGGCTGTGCACCTTCGCCTATTTGTGGGCATTGCATATTGCTGCACATTGAGGTAAGAGAGGCCTCTCAGCTGCTCACGTTTTCGAATTCATTCCCATCGTTGCATTGCCGTGCTGTCCACGCAACACATCTGCTGGGAAAGAGAACAGCTGCGTTTTCTGACTGGTCCATTTTGTTCATTCTTTCCCTATGACGCACCGTTCATCATCATCATCATGATTGTTAACAAAACAAGGCAATGAGGTAGCCGTCAGCTTCCCATTTTGCCTGAGCAAAGCAGAGTCGGTGATTGGTTCATTGGAGTCTAATGAGAAATACAAACTAAATCTATGATCTGTGAATTTGACGCACCGTTCACTTGACAATGTGGAATACTCTGGGGCATGGACAGATGCATGATATGCCCTGGATCGAGGCCAGAGAGCTGCCACAGCCCACGCCAGATCTGTTCAGCCCCCCTTGGGCTGTATGAAGCGCCTCCACGGTGGTCGAGTCAGTCCAACAGGTTCAATGCTTGTGGCTCCCCCTTCATGACTAATGTTCGGAACAGCAGCCTTGCCCAACCTTGAACGCGATAGAGACATTGCAGGATTGAACTGACGTTTTCGGCGTCGTCTGGAGCAACATATGGTCCAGGCCATCGACTCGTCAGTATCCCAGACGGAACAGTCTCTGCATGCGTGTATGTGTGCGGACAGTGGAGGAAAGACAAGAGAAAGAATGGCGCGTCGCTGAGGAAAGAGTCCGCCACCTCGCTGATCGTGGCATCAGGAGCATTGGCGCTGCTCAGGACTCCAATTGTCTCATTTTCCCTTAGGAAAGGTCACAGTGAGCTAAGACATGTGTCTAATTGGCACAGGTTTTCTCAGGCACTGTGCAAACCTGCTATAATTTCCACATCATCGCCTCTGACACGCATCGACCCCGTTTGTTGCGCTTCATGTGAAAATGTGCATGTGAAGAGCTGCGAAGCAGAAGCGCAAGGCTGTTGAGGGGGGTTGGTAAACAAGCAAGTTCAACGGCCGCTACACCATTTCTTGGCCCGCAATACGCCTCTTTCAACGGTGCTTGAACACTGGGCGTCACATTTCGTTGCACAACTTCGTGGACCTGTCGCAAGGCTGGAGGTCACTTTGGCACTTGGCTAGGCGGGGGTCTTGCTTTCTACATCACCAGCGGAAGGGCTATGCTGTGGCAGCACTGCTGCCTGTGCGTCGCTTGTCTCTTGCACCAGGTTTCAGCAGTTTCCTGCTAGGTGGCACAAGGCCCGCATCTCTTTCGTTAGGACGGGGATGAAACCTGGACATTGAAATGTGATGTCCACTCTTCTGGTCTTGCGCTGGGAACTGCCCATACGCCCTTCACGGTAGAATTGGCCTTCTACAAAGCGTAAGCGTCAGGAGACCATCAAATTTGGGACAAAAAGAAGAAGTTATGTACAAGACAGTGTTTCAGACATTCAATTGCGCTGGTACCCCGCGCCTGCAGTGTGACACCGTGATGTTGGCGAAAGCGCGCCACTCCATATTCTACTTTGTCCAGGCACCCACATCCTGACGACATCGCTACTGATCAACATGTACAAAGAACGGACCAGCGGGCAATTCGTGGGGCGTCATGCCCCCACTTCGCACGCCTTCCACCCCCCCATGCGCATCGTCATGGCAGACAAACAAGCGAAAACTGCAACTCACCGCTGTTCAAAACTGTTCACAACCTTTGAGATGTGGCCAATGCCCAGTCCAACAGCCTGCACCAGCCCCTCCAAATCCACCTGCAACCGCTTCAAGTCCTCCTGCACATGCGACAAGTAGCTCACCAGCTTGCTCTCCGCAACTCCCAGCGTGCCCACAGCGGGGCCCCCACCGCCACACAGTCCCGAGGGCGCAAACATCCACAGAAACAGGTTGAGCATCTGCAGAAGGAACACCACGCCCATGGCGACATACACGACGGCCCCGGGCTGGCTGATGCCCCTCCCCGGTCGGGGCAATTTCGACAAGCCCACCCAGGAGGACCATCCCCCCTCGGACATCCGCAGGGCCCTTCTGCTACCGGAGTTGGACAACCTGTCCAGATCCAACGACCCCCTTGGACGACTCCTGCGGGGAGACAGGCCAGGCGCCTCACCGGGCCCCCCGGCCCCAAACTCTTCCCGCACCATGCGCACAATCCACTGCCGGAACTCCTTGTGGTTCAGGAGCTCGTGCATGTTGTCAGGCAGGTCGTCTTCACCCCGGTGCAGGGAGTCCTCCGACCCCTCAGAGAAGGACAATGAGGCCGACGTGAAGGTCTCCCGCATCAAGGCCACCATTTGGTCCACGGTTTCGCGCAGCTCTTTGAACACGGCCGTGTTGATCATGCGGCGGATTGGTGCCAGTACGGTGCGCGTGAAGGGCACCTCCGCGTGGATCTGCAGGTGGCAGCCCTCGGAGGGTGAGGCATGCCGCCCCAGGGACGTCACGTCCCAGCGCACTCTGACCTGGAAGCAGTCCCCATAAGGCAGCCCCGTGTGCACCTGTCGAAGGCAAAGTGTAATTCCTTTCATTGTGAATGCCTCCCGTCCTCTATTGTAACAGGGGGGTTGAGGGGGTGCATACAAGACTAAATGTAATCCAGCTACTGGCTGCCACGCAATGGCACGGTTTGTTTACATCCCAGGCATGCACATCCACGGCCATGTCTTTCTCCGCATACAGGGATGTGGGACGTTTTTGTGACGTTAGCGCATTGCATTTGTCATGCAGCAGCTCTCCACCACCAGCAGATTGACGTACGCAATTGTGTCATGGCGTTTGTCCGATTCATTCCCATGAAAGCCCACAGCGGACCAAAGAAGGGCATATGCGTTCCAGAGAAAATTGACATCCATGTTGATGCTGCAGTTGGGTGGTAGCTGGCACTGCCTTGGCAAGTAGATAATCCAACAAGAACAGCAACCTTTGAATCTGACACAAAATTTGCAACAGCAGGACACAAACAACTACATATCACCACAGCAGCAACAGTAAGCCCACTTGACAGAGACGCACTATCTCCGGGTAGCTAGATATTCTCGTTCAGGGCCTACTGCGATTGAGCGCATGCAAGGAATGCCACCAACATGTAAACATTCCACGTGGATGGATGGCTAGCATCCATACCCATTACATTGTCCTCTGCAGTGGTCTTTGCTACAAAGTCTTTGTTCAAGGACAGCGCACCTGTGAGGTCTCAAACACCAAGTGGCCATCACTGTACATGCAGCACCGCTGGTTTTGTGTGCATGCTGCTGTTGATGGTGCGAAACGTCCGATAGGCAGACGTGACTTCACTGGCGATATGAACGTGGTATGACGGACGCGGCCGCAGACATGGGAATGAGTCTGCCAGGGGGAGGTCTGGAACCGTTGGTCCCCCCTCCCCTTGTGGATCTCTTCAAAGAACACCGAATCATCCGAGAAGATCTTGTTAAAGAAAACTTGAGCCGAAATGTCAAAATCTTCTTCGACAATAGACTGCATCGACGAGGCGATGGGAGGCGCCGGAGAGGCTTCAGGATGCCTGGAAGGGGGAGTGGATGAAAGCACAGGACATGAACAACTGTGAAAGGCAACAACCGGAGTGGAAAGACTCATGGAAGCCCAGCAAAGTCAACTGTTGTACTACAAACAGAGCATCAATCCAGTTTGGTGCAACAGGTTGACAAAGGAATACGAGACATGAAAACATGGCTGTGGGTGAGTTGAAAGTGGCTAGCCAGCTGTGCCACTCAATGACAGGCACACGTGCAAAATCCTCATCACCTATATTGGTTCAGGTGGACAGTGTTGGCCAAATCTGCAGCATGAAGTTCCAAGCTGTGGACATTGCAGATACTGAAGAGCGCAGGATAGCGGAGCAACGCTGGCTGGGGTTTAAATTCTGTGCAATCTTATCAACGACAGCCACAACTACCCCAACCAACACACACCATTCATCATCATCGTCTTCCTCATCTTCGTCAGAGCCCTCTGAAATTCCGGATGCATGCACATGGTCGTTTCTCCTCTTGGACTCAAGCATGTCCCTTGCGGATTCCCAGCTCTGGGTCTTGTCCACAGGATTCAGCGTCGACAGTGGGGATTCTGCCATTGGGATGTCTTCCCCACTGTCGTCGTCACCTTGTGTTGTGTCACTGGCAGCTGAATTGTTCACTGCAGCAGATGGACGGCCAGAAGCAAAGCTGTCTGCCCGGCCTGGTGGGAAGCCAAACAACTCATTCAAAGACAGCAGCACCTCAGAAATCAGACCACAGATAAGTGTACCAAACAGTACTCGAGCCAGCACCAGGGGGCAACAGTTGGAAAAAGATTCCCTTCCTCAAATGGATGCGGGAGGTCCTCCATTGAAACATAGGCAGCATTGCCATGACCTGAGATATGTGGAACGTGACATGTCCCTAATCTGATTTCGTTGCGATACCAACAAGCAACACGTAGCCACCGGTACTCTGCAATGTCATGGTGGCAGCCAAATTCACTGCAATGGTTGTGTATTCAATTCTGCCAGCCAATACACTTCCTGCTTCAGAGCTTCCTGAGTTCCAGCAACAAATTGTGCTCTACAACATGCTGCTCTTTAGGGTCAAAAAATGCAGTTCTCCTCTTGGATGGTAATGCACACCGACTCGGCAGCTCTATTTCTGTGTTGCATGCCAACCTCTTCTGGCAAGAAATGGGCGTTCCAGGTGACGACAGAGCGCCCCAGAAAGCTCGCCATCCTCATGAACTGCATTATTATTCCAAATCTTCAAAACCAGCACAGGATGAAGTGGCTTCAACTGTCTTTCAGTGCTATGGACGACAGGTACAAACAAAGGCTCCCCGCAGTGGTGGTCACACCCAAATACTTCCCCACGCAAGACGTTCTCACCTGGCTCCGATGTCTGAGCAGCCAGCTGCGCCTGATTCCACACGTTGATCAGCAGGACATAGGCGTCCTCCCGTGACAAGAACGATGTGAAGAACTCCTTCTTGCTGTTCCACACAATGCGTATGGAGTTCGGAAACCCGTAGTGCCTCTTCTTGGAGATCTCGATCACCTCCGCCAGCGGTATGACCTTCTTCTTGACCCAGCCAAACAGATTCGAGTAGAAGCACACGTAGTTTTCAAACACATACATGCGGCCCTGAAGCAGTATCTTCTTGTGGAGTGCGCAGTAGAATTCGTCCATAAAGAGTTCCCCTGGTTGGAGGTCAAAGTGCCGACGCAACTCTTCATCCCTTGCCTGCACCCTCGATACCATGGACATGACAGGCTTATGGGAAGATGTCCTTTGGGACCTGGACAGCGCATCGTGAGCTGAGACGCTGGGAGAGGGCGTGTCCGACGAATTGCGGCTGGCGGGGAGCGTCAGGACATTGAGCATCTTGCCCTCTCACGCACTCGCAGGCAACCGACTGCCCTGCACAGACGACACAGTTAGACTGCGTTGTCTACCTTTTTCACTGTGCGGGCACATCACAAGCCCCTCCAAAAGGACAAGCTTAGATTTCCAGCAAATGCACCCGTTTGGCAGGCCCCACTGCAGGATGAACAGAAGCAGTATGCAGGTCCACACACTCCCTCGTGCACAGGGGGCACAATCTGGTGGCAGGAGTCTCTGGATTTCTCTGATATGGTGGACCCTACGGCATATTGCTGAGAAGTACCAGAGCTGCCGGCCGAAATCAACGCAGTTCGTGAAGCGCTCGACAACAGCGCGTCAGACCTTTGCTGTTGGGGCGTTGCCATTGTGTTCCCCGGAATAGAACGGAACAGAGACGGGTGCAGAATTGTGCGTAAAGAGCAGGATAGGAGTGGCTGGTACCCTCAAGCACTCGCAAGAACACAAAATTAGCCCATTCACCATTGCAGTTCTCCTCACGCCGATCCACGGTGCAAAAGGACTCCGAGTCAAGGTGCGAACCCTCCCTTAATCAGATGCCCCGTCCGGACATTGACCCCAAGCCCCGTTCCCATCGCAGCACCGGCTTGATAACTGGAAAACGCATTTGCTCCGCCTCCAATCGGCGCTCAGCCCTGGACTACCCCCCGCTTCTCCCGCCTGGCCTTCGCGACGGAACACAACCCAAGGGCGCCATGCCCGGCACAGCACGGCCCCACGCCATGAGCATCAGCAGGTACCGCCAATGGCGCGCTGCTCCCGCCGACCGGTCACCCACCGATTCCAACCTTCCCTCGTCCTCCCGCCGCTCTCCACCCCCGCTTCCTTCCGCGGCCCCTCCTCACAGCATCCGCGACCACACAACCTTCCCTGGCCTCAGGCAGGAATCACGATTCCGCAAGGCCACCCGATTGCACAACGCCAAAGGCAGCCGGGCGCAATCCGCCGCACGGGGCCGAGCTGAGGGAGGCCGAAAGGAAGCCGTTCCAGCGATGGGCGCACGCAAAAAAGAAGGGAACACAAAATGCCGCTGAGCTTCGCGAAGGTGGCTTTTTCTGGACGGTCTGGCCCCTGGTGTGGTCCTGGAGGCCGCGGCGGGTGAGTGCAGGAGCCCGCGTGCCAGGGAGGCGCCTGGACGGGGGCCAAGGGGCCCCGCGAGGCGGGCAATGGGGTAACGATGTTGGCGGGGTTGCGCAAGAAGGCGGATAGTGGGGCGAAGCAGCGCCGTGCCTTCGCCGGGATTCTCACACTAGGTTCGGTCAGTTGCAAAGGTTTAGGTTACGCTGGGTTACACTACAGTAGATTACATTTGCACTAGGTTAGGTGCAAAGAGGTGTCCCTGGATATGGCGCCCATATCATATTCGATATCTTGGATATGGGGCCCCTCCCTGTCCTCTTCCATAACCAGATATGGAACTTTTCCGAACAGGTCACAAGTGGACCTGGGCGGAGCCGCTCCTTTCATTTCTGAAAGACCCGCAGTGGACGGCGGCATGCAGAGCGCCACTGGGTACCCAGTATTTGGGTAACACCGGCGTCACCCAGTTGGTGAGGCTCCCTCTGCCCTGGGTCACCGGTGCGTGACGTCAGCTGCCATTAAACTGTGCACGTCACGTAGCGCGCTTGGCGGTCAGAAGGTCTGCCGCTGCCACAGCAAGCCCGCGCAGAAGCCGTGGCTCCCATGCGCATATTCTTGCCTGGACTGAATATCACGGGGGCTGTACTGAACATTGTGTATGTGTTGTTGAACTCCGCTGCGAAGCCCCGCCTACATGGAGGGAAGCGATTCGGCGTCGTGCAACATCGCGCCCGTCACGCCCCCATTGTCATGCTTGCTGCTGCTGGGCCTTAGAGCCGTATCCCACGCCATGAGGGCCCCCGTTATGGCCACCAGTCGCGGCCAGCACATCCCGGATGGGGGGGATGTCGTGCTTGTCATTGTGACAGGCATAGACACAGTTCATACCAGCGGGCCCATTTCCAAGCGCGAGCTTTTGCGATACTCCATTCCATGTTCCATGCTCCATTCCACATATGCATGATGATGCACAGGTGGCCAAGAGGAACACGCTTTCTGTGTTGCGTTCAGCCAAAGAGCGTTACCTTTCGGTATGAATTTGCCAAAAGCATGGAAAAGCAGAAGCAGGCATCTCCATTGCCCGCATGTGCACTCCGAAGTGGCATCGAGCTCATTCTGTTACAGTACATATCAGCCATTCAATATGGCCATTCTGCTGTTCTGCGTTCCAAAAATTCCGGCGACATTGGCCTGCGACTCACGAAGCAAGTCTCTTGCATGCATGCCATTCATGAAACGAAGCCCAACTATTGATACAACACAATTCAACTGAATTGTATCGTAGATTGCCAATTACAAGGCACTTTGGCAATAATTGCCATTGCAATGCCTTGTGCCGAGCAACGCTGGCCCCTATACGTGGGCCACGCCTTCCACAGCCGCGACTTGTTTCCAGTCGTTCAATAGAGGCCTGCTGTGCTAACGCCCCCTACCAGCTGCTTGTCGCCCTTTGCTCCCTCCCTTCTGCTCAACTGCCAAACAGGATGGCATCAATACGGACCTGGCATAGTTTCTGTTGCCCGTTCTTCGCAGCACCCCCCACCCGGCTCCAAACGTCAATGCGCTTCATGCAAAATTACACTAGTCCAAATAGAAAAGGGTCACAATTTTCCTCTGCTCCTTGGCTTTGCTGCAGGACTCCAGCATGAGATTGGAGTCATGGAACGCGAAGCATATGACCTGCGCCACTCGGCTGATGATGTCCAAGTTGCAGAGTCTGCAAGGGAGCCAGAACCAAAGGGCCTCTTCCATGGGAGTGACAGCCCGTGCACCAGTGCAGAGCTGCGTACAGGTTTGCAGTGGAAGCGCAAATCGCAGACACACTTTTGAACGACGACTGCACTGACAGAGAGCAACAGCGCACATGAATCGAAAAGGCGGTGAGGGGCACACATGCATCCCAGAGTTTCTCCTTTCCGAAGTTTTCAAATGTCCACTCGCCATCCGTCCACAACGCCGCGCCCTCACTGATAGTAGGGTACGCCAATACCACAATCTACCGCGTTTTCTACTTGATAGGAGTTAGAGCCAAAATGGAGGCGTCATTCCGACATTTCTTGCGGGGTGCCCTCATCGGTTGCTTCTAAGAGTCCATAAAATGCGCCTGCTGACAGAAGTCAGACGCGTGAAACGTCCTTCCAGTCGAACATATGAATTCAAAAGATTGTGCTTGCAGCAATCCCCAAGGTGGGAGCTGGCCTGTGCTCAGTAGCCTTCAAGCGGCTCCAGTGCTTCAGGACTTGTGGGACCTCGTGTCCACGCACTGGCCGCGATCAAGCGCATCAAAGGCCCCAAGGGCTGCTGACAGAAGTTGCCGCAGTGCTGTCTTCGAGAACCAAGAAGTGAAGCAAATTTTCTGCATGCCATTCTAAACCCATGTGTAAAGTTCTGCAGCTGTGGGGCAGGCTGGTGGCTCAGACCACAACGTTGCAACGTCACATTCGAGGCCATCAGTGCAGCGTGTGCACAGCAGTGCACATTTCCAGACGGAACAAGGCTCACCTGCTGGCATCGTAGAGGCTCAGAGTGTCGTTCCAAGGCATTTCGACCACATTTTGGACCTGTCGCGCCAAGGAATCGGCTCATTCCAAAGCATCCATGCAGCGTGGTGTCATCAGTAAGGACGAATTCTGCACAGGCACGATGTGCGGCGCCTATTGATACCACAGCCCGTCGATCAACAGAGGAACATTGGTCTGAGGGAAATGCAAATTGCCTTTGCGAGGCTATGTGTGGCACCCCACCTCCCCTCCCCACCACCCTGTGATGCAACACATTCCTGTGATGCAACACATTCCTGTAATACAACTGTAGCATTCTGGTTATAGAAAGGTACACACGACATCTGCAGTATGTTATTGTGTATAGGCGCCCAGATCCCATGATTATGAGCGATCATGCAACTGACGTCATGGCTGGCTTGTAATTGTAATACTATTCTGAACACTTGGGACACCATCTCATGGCAATCCCAAACCCATGCACACATTGCACAAGATGCATTTGGCTTCTTTTCGCTTTCATCCCTTGGTTTTTGAGACAGGACATTAGTGAGATGTAACAGGAGGTTACTGCATGAAGCAATGCCAGCGATAACCTTGAAAGTGCAAAGCGCTTTGTCTCCAGGTTTGCAAAAGAAATAGTCCAACGTACTGACACAACCGTTGTGACAGTTTTACAGTAGTATTCACGGCAGGGGAATATGGCATTGGTGACAATGATGCCAGACCACCTGCTGAAATGAGCAGCACAAAGATTCTTCTTGCACCTGGCCAAGAAGCTCTTGAGACTCTTGTGGCTGCTTGTCCTTGCTCTGGGGCAGGACAACAGTCAGGAGGTCAGGCTGCTCAGCTCTGAGGGCGCCTCGAATGACAGCAGCATTTGTGCCTGTGGCGCCCGAAGTATAAATGTGATTGCCCTGGGTGACAATGGCAATGGATAGGTTAGGCAGATGTTGATATAGGTTTTGTTGCACAGCGATCGGGGCATGGCTGTCATCAAGGAGATCGTGATGCCCTACATTTGCAGACCTCATATCAATCAAGTGCTCAAACCTACACTCACAGGATGCTGCCCAAAGGACAGCACCCCATCTCTGAAACGATGGCAATTTCTGGCAGTGCATTTGAAGAACTGAAGTGTGGAGGAATACAACAGCATGAGAACTCTATGACAGTGTACAAAGGGGGAACAAGTGTGAAATGAAGAAACTGCTTCTGGAAATACAAGACAACAGTACAAGTACCAGAAAGGGCAAAAGCTCCGTACATGGAAAGTTCGAATCATGTCTGTGGACTTGACTTGCGTCCAACGTGCCCGGATGGGGTGCCCAAACAATCAGGGACTGCCCAGCGAATTGGAAATGCAAAACACGGCGACCTCAGGGACACCATTGACACCCATTTCCTATCATTGCAGAGAACATCACACAACAGTACACAATAAAATCATCCCAGCAAAATCACAGCCATTAGCATTTCAAGTCCCCACAGTGGGTATTGGACACACTAGAAAACAGATCGCCCTGAATAAATTGAAACACAAAATGCCATGTCTCACTTAATGAGGTCGTTTGTGGGGGAAACTGAACATACTCAATATCTGTTTTGTTCTCAATACAGCGGGCACAGATATGCCCTGTGCACAGTTGGGCTTCATAAGTGGCAGCAAATGGGCTGAATTGTACAAAAATTGCAGCGTAGTAAGCTTGCTTTTAAAGCCTGGGCGTGGACAAGATTGTATTCAATGGGGATGAGTGTACTCAGCACACGTCGGACTCGAAGAAGTTGCAAAAAACTGCAAATTTTCAGAATGAGCGATGAAAAGCTTTGTGACACAATGCGAGGCAGGACCAAGGAGGCCCCTGGTATGCAGGGACTAAGCACCCACCGAAGTGACCAATGTGTAGCTGAGGATCTCCACCAGCTTCTGATGTGTTATGCCCATGTTCCTAGTGCCAAAGAACCCGATATTTTTGGGAGCATTCTGCTGGATGGCAATTAGCTCCTGTAGATAAATGGCACAACAAACTGTTAGTTGACTCAACGTTTGCATTCAACTCAAAACATGCGGTCGCAGCGATCTGCCGTTGAACAGTGCACCAGGGCTGGACATGCACCAGTAAACACATTTTCCTTTCGGTAAGGGACAAATTGCGTCCAGCTGGGTAACGGCTACTTGAGTAACCAGTACCTCCAATTGGTTGACTTTGCTGAGTGTGGGTGCATTATTGCATCTTCCTATCCAGGCCCAATGCGGCCATGTGTCCCTTGATTGTGTTGGATCCAGTTTCTAATGAATGGGCATTGCTGCAGCTGGGTGGAAGCAAATCCAAACCAGGCAGCAGTACAGACAATGTATCGCCATTTCTGTGCTGTGCCAAATCCACAAACGGAGCAACGCCCACAGTAGTGCTGCCGAACGGACATTTGCCAGGCGCACCATGGGTATCACACATGCACAGGGCAATAGTGGCCTCATCGCAAGGGAGAGATTCGATAGATCTGCCAACACAGCACAGAGACAAAACATTCTCTGCCGCTGTGACACACTTTCATGCGATCGACAGCTGCTCCTAACATTTGGGCTCAACATCGCCTTGCACGTTGCGATGAGCCACAACTCCCACACCTCTCCTATCTGGGGACCACTTGGATTCCTTCACGCGATGCGATATTTGGCAATCAAATTTGGCATTCCACGTGGCCGCCACCCAGCGGCGGACTTCCCCTCCCGTTCCACGCCCATAAATCACCGCCTTCCACTTCCATAGGGGTAGAAAGCCAAAGGAAGCTGAAGCACAAGGGACGTGGAATCGCGGACGAGGCATAACTGCCGACGGTCGATACCCGCGCCCCGGTAAAAGCGGACAATTACAGAATTCCATTGAATAGAGCTGAAATCCTTTGAATGTGGATCGCCAGCCAGGGGACACCGTTTCGCTATTTGCATTGAGCAGAGACACGTGACACGACCAATGTGTAGAATTTTTCACGTTGCCTGTAAGGATGCTCGTTCATTTATTCCCATTGCCTGTAAGGATGTTCATTCAAATTCATTGAATAGAATAGAGTTCACTTGCACGCGCCCACGGACAACCCCGGCCCCGCTCCCCGCCCAACCTCACCGTCAAATAGTCGATGTCCGCCGGCGGCCTCTCCCTGGTCTGCAGCCCCCCACCCTCCAGGCCCCTCACCGCCGCCTGCCCCTGAGTGGGTAGATCCACGCCGCCCTCCCTCGCCCCGATCCCCTTCTCCCCCGCATCTCCCGACCCGCCCCGCGCCACCGCCAGCACGCATCGGATCCTCGCCTCCCGCTGATCGATCCGCGGCCGACGCTGTCGATCGCACGCCAGCACAAGTGCCGTTCAGTGCTCACTGAGGGGATGCTGCTGTCGATCAAAACGCGCAGGGGCCAACACTGAAAGTGTCCTGTCTCCGTCCCAAAGTACACAAGAACTACAATCAAACTGCACAAGATGTGCCGAACAAAAGATGCGCTGTCCTTCTGACTTGCGCGGAACGCACCGGCCGCTGCGTCTCGCCCGTGCAGCAGCAGCGGAATTGGAACATAGCGTTGAGTTTCCATGCCCTCAGGGGGGCACCCTGGTTCATGGGGCTGGGCGCCCCGGCCGCTTGTGCCCCGCGCCTGCCTAGGGGTTTGGCCAGGGCGGGAGAGGGCTTTGTTTGCGGCCGGGTGGCGTGCAAAACCGCCCAAACCGCCTGGACCCCTTCGGCCCCAGCCGCGATCTCTGTGCAGTGGGCGTCAGGACACTGGATACAGTCGCTGGTCTCGCTTTCCAGAAAGGCGACGGGCCCCCGTGTTAGTAAGCCGGCACAGGGCCGAATGTATATTAGTCGCTCTGTCATTTCCGTGAAGATCCCTTCTATTCCGCTGACAACGCCAACGTGGGTCAGTGGGTCAGTGGTTTAGTGTGTCGAGACAAGAAGGAATCTTCACGGACAAGCAAACGGCTGCACTGGGGGGGGCTGGTTTGTCGACAAGCGCGGCTTGTCACTGTTCCCGTAGCATTTTATTTCACTGCGACCGGCCCAAGCGCCCGCGACTTCAGCCAGTATGGGCCTGGTAGGCCGGGCGTAGCGTTACCCCTACACCGGCGGCCTGGGTACCCCCTACACCGGCAGCTTAGTGTAGTCCCTACACCGGGGGCTAGGGTACCCTTTACACCGGCTGCTGAGGGTACCCCTCATAACCTGGTGGCCAGGGTGGCCCCCCCACACACACCGGCATATAGAATAAAGAGAATCGAACCACGCAGTGGTGGGTATATCTAGCGGTGTTTGGGGAAGCACACGGGACGCCTTGCGGGACTTAAACTACTGCCAAACTGCGTTAACTGCTGCTGAAGCACTTGAAGTACTGGGGGACCGTAGCCGCCCGTCTAGATTTAGCGACCCCTCAGCCGGCTCGCCACGAGGGGTCGGTAAGCTGGCCCCCTCACTGTTATTTCATGCCGCCGAATGCCATTGCCTGAACATGCGGCCTCTGGCCCCATCGCAGTCGTTCTGCCTGACGATACAGTTGGGCCCACATCCACCGTGCAAGCCCATCTTTTATAACCGAATTGGTGACAAAAATTTGCAGCCAGGAAAACACCGGAATGTGCCGGCATCGGCGCGTGGAAATGTCACAAAATGGGAAATTGTGACGAAAATAAGAAAAAAAAACACAACAGAACATCATACCTGTAGTTGGTTTTCCATCAGATATGAATTCTCCACCCGTCATTCAACCGTCTGTTGATGGGGCGTGCTGCCCGTAGGCCAGGGGGGATGCATTCGGCATTGCACATCCCACCCTGTTCCCAACTGCCGTATCGTATCGTATCGTATCGTACCATATCATATCGTATCGCATCGGGGCGCCCAACAATTCATGGCAAATTCAGGGCCGTACAGACAAGGAAAGAAAGAACAAATTCCTGCTCGGGTAACATTCGCGCAGTGCCGTTCCCGCCCCGGCCCCTGCCCTGCCCTGCCTCGCCGAGATGTCGCTGCCACCGGGGACCAGCCTGGGCTGCTTTCACCAAAAGGTGAGTGGAAGCGCCTAAAAAAACTGCGCTGCATGGCGCTCAGAGCCCGCAACGGCGCCGCGCTGCGGAGCGCATGCTGCGTGGCCCATTCGCGCATGCCGGCCAACTGTTCAGATGCCTCGCTGCGAATCTGGACAGGGGCGCCTGTTGGGGATGTCTGGGATCTGGGATCGCTGCCGGTGGCGTTTAGTTCGACTGGCGGTCGCGCAGTGGATGGCGGGTTGAGGATTGCCCTGGCAGGGCAAATGGTCACTTGGCGAGGAGGCCTTGATTTACAGGCGTTTCTCAAGATAGGGCGAGGAGAGCCCTTTCGATCTCGTTGTGCGTGTGGTTAAATTCGACTTCAGCCCATGGCTGTGGAGATCTCCTCGTGTTGAGGCGCCTCGGAGCTCTAGTGCCCCAAGAAATGTTGTTGCAACTAGTGCTGTTCGAGTATTATGAACAGCTGGACGCATAAAGAGATGATGAGGCTCTAGGAACTCTATTTAGAACATTGATGAACGGACTGGATAAAAGGAACAGAATTCCGGTTGTCCCTTTGCTCTGCTGTAAACCGTTGCCGTGTACACGAGCCTACGGTCCCCAGTCCGGGGTCGCCAACTCTCGACCCTGCCTGCCTTCATCAGCGTCCCGCCGGGCCCTGGAACACCAAGGAACGCATGAAAATACGACGCAAAGAGATTTTGTAATTCTGGACGCGCCAGTGGTTAACTTTGGAATGTTCTACCTGACAAGCATTTTTTGCGGTGGTTGCTTAGATATCCAGTGAAGAAATGCACATTGCACATAGGAGTACCCCTCCTGTGTAGTTTTGTCAATTGTCGCAGCGTTGTGTTGTCAATCATTGAGTCCCCAGACTGGTTCGGTCTCGTGGTCGAATACATTCCCATCATGCCCAGAAATTACGAATCAGTACAATTTTCATGACAGTATTGATTGTGTGCACCTTTCCACGCAAAGGAGAATGATTCCTGTTGAGTTGTTGCTAGTGGGCTTTGGCTTGAATCCATCCCGATAAGTGCATCTAAAAGAAGCCCATGGGCCCCCCCACACAGGCACTGCAATTTTGTTTGAAATTCAACACTACACTCGTTCAGTATCCCAGAAATTCTGTGTATATGCCCCATGCCAATTGTGCACATTTCCCACATTTTTATTTTTGAAATGGTGCAAGGGATTGTTGCTTGTGGCGGGATGCATATGGAATACTTGACATACAGTGTGTGGGAAAATGACTGCATGGGTAAAAACTTCGCATACAACTCCCAACTAGGAGTGCAGTGTGCTGACGACCATTGTTTCCCTGGTGTGAAGGTCCTTGTTCCCCCCAAGGCTGCAGCAGTCTCCAAGATTCTTCATTGGACCAGTCCCCAGGAATGCCGTGGGCTGGTGCCAAGAGTCCATCGTTTGCTGGCCAGTAATTCCGATAAATCAGGCAACGAACCCAACAAGAACGACAATGGGGGCAGTACAGGCTCATCAGGCCGTGCTGGCCCTGATCTGCTGGCGGCAGGCTTGCGAGAGGCTGAAGAGGTTTATCGCCAGGCACACAGGATGGCACTGCAGTTGACGCGCAAGCGATTGGAAGAGCAGGAAATGCACGATTTTCACCGCTCCCAAAGGTCTGGGCACAATGCAGCGCCAGACAGGCCAACATCTGAACCTGAAACAACTGGCAGAACCAGTAGTGACACTGCAAGTTGTGTCGATTCGCAAAGGCCAAATCCAGCACAATGGCATGAAGAGCGGCTGGTTCAACTTCTGCAGTCGAAAGGCGCTTCCAGATTCGTTGGCGAGGAGATCGCTCGACAGCTTGGCAGGGACTGCAGCCCATACCTGGATGGTGATCTGCTTGCATCCAAACTTGAAAGGCTGGAAGGCATCCTTCCTGATGTAGACGTCATCGAGCTCTTGGCTAAGGACGCCTCTCTGCTGGATGTTGATCTGTACCTGGCCGTGCAGAACATGGTTGCATTGTGTGACCATTTGCAAGGGAATAGTGTGACGGGTGTGATCAGAAGCTGCCCCAAACTCCTGAGGTGCACAGATCTGGATGGCCAGCTGTGCCGAGTGATGCAAAAGCTAGAGAGCCTGTTGCCGAGATGGAAGCGGACGATGCTAGTGAACCTTGTCAGCGAATATCCGGAACTCATCTTCCGGCTGCACTTGCACCTGGACAAGTCGTTCAGCGAGCTTCCAATCGACATACAGAACGTCCTGGCCATTGGGGGTGGAGGCGGCGGCTCCGTGTTCAGGAGCTGGAAAAAGAGCAGTTTGGACGACCAAACGCCAGGGCAGCAGAGCACTTGAGCATAGTACCTGAGTGCTTGAACAGATAGTCCACTGCAATTGAAGTGTGCATCGTGTGCAAGAGGAAGGCTTGGCATGGAGACAATAGGATCGCCAGGCCTGTGCATTTGTATTGTTGTAGACTAGAATTGGGCCATTGCTGTAAACATACGACTGCAAACGTTGAATGTCTCTTTGGGAATGGTCCTCCGGTTCCATTCACTGCTCAAGTCGCCAGTTGGCAATGCGATCTTGAACAGGCCCAATGTGGGCAATGGGGGAAGTGGGCCAGTGGTTGCCAGTGCTGGTAGTACGTTGATGACAGAGCATACAACGTTCCCACTACACGGGCCCATCTGCTCCACATGAAGAATGAGCAAGATGTGCTTGCAGTCATCTACATGAATCCCAGCCAATCATGTGCGAAAGTGCATTACGGTGATTGGAAATGCTCTTCCCTCAGTCTGATGTTTGTTTTTGCATTCCGCAATGGTTGCATAAAGCACTACCAGAAAGTACCCTGTTTGGGATGCCAACTGCAATGCCATTTTGACACAAAGTGGCGCCATCACAGTGATTGCCATGGTACAAAAGTGGGTATGATGACATCAATTAGTATCAAACGGCATCACAGTTGGCATCGCAAAAATGTCCATTTCTGCTGGTAAGTCTTCTTGCAGAAGTCTTCTGCAGCATTCATTCTATTGCCACCACGTAGCTGTGCTCTTAGAGTACAGTCACATGGTGGCAGCAGAAAGTATACCGTACAGTGAGCGGGGTGGCGTGCAAATAACAGTGCCTAAGAATGCAAAGCTTGCCTGGCAGATCCTTGGCAGAGTCGACAAGAAAATCACCGAACTAAAATCAACCCCAGATGAAGCAAAACATGGCGAAACGGACTTTCCATTTCTGCAGGGCGCTGCAATGCAAATTTGCCCGCGAGAGCCATGCGCTTTTGTCAGTGGTTTACAGCTATGTCAAGCGTCGCGCACCGAGCCCTTATCTTGGGTGCATCAACGAACAACATGCGCAGTCTTGGTGGTCATGCAACCAATGAACAATTGTTCATTAGTTGGGGTGTATGTAAGATATAACCTTGCAAGGTGTATTTCGCGTTTCGGGGAATGCGGCACACCGGTCTTGACATTCTTGCAGCGTTTCACCCCGCTTCTCCCTTGCTAACCAACGGAAAACCGCGCACCAGCAGCCGTTGGCTCAATAGCTTGAGCATTGTAGCGCTCGATGCCAGGGAGACATGTGCATACATCAGCATACCTCAAACGCAATCGCCACAGGGCCGTAAGAGCGGACCAACACCGCTGATGGCACAAGTGCAAATAACACGACGTGAATTGACACTATTTTGTAATCTTCATGCTTATGACGCGCCTCCACCATGCTATCATGCAATGCTCTCCCCGGTCCCCATCCCCACACCCCATCCACTCACCACCACCAGGGGTCCAAAAAGCCGCCCACGCATCCATAATACACACCTCTCATTATGGGTTGTTCACACCGGACAAAAGGCCAGGAGATAAAGACCTGCAGCTGAGAAATTAGTATCCAAGCGCGCTGGATGACCACCGAAAGACCCTTGAACTCATCCTTTGAATCAATTCCAATGGAGATATTCTTCTCAATCTTTGAATTACAAGAACAGCCATTCGCCTTGTGAGCACGAGAAAAACGCTTGGACGCCAAAACAATAGCCATTGGCTTCAGCCAGCATCGCACAGCCTCTTGGCCAGCTGGTGATGCCCAGCAGCGATTGCCAGCTCTGCTGCAGTCATCCCATCCTGAAAGGAACAAAACAGTGGAACCTCGCTCAGCGGGGTGGATTACTTGCAATGAGATGTCGAGCGTCAGCATTGACAATCGACTTGTCGAGGCTGGCCTTTGCATAGATAGCGTGCACAAGGAGATGGGGTGCACACCTGTGCCCAGCAAGGGTGCCCACTGCAAAGTGTGGAAATTTCTGGACCCGCGCGCACAATGGAATTGGCAACTATCTCAAACGCAAAGTGCCATGTACAGTGTGCTTGACAGACAACTTGCGAAACACATTCAACACAGGATATTCCTAGCAAAAATGGATTTGCCATGGATAAACAAAGCAAACACGAAACAAGAGGCGTGCTTGTATGGACTTTATCCACCACAGTTGAGCAGTTACATTGCGCATGACAAGTGCGACATCAGCCCCGTCACCTTGTCAGTAGAGGCCAAGCTTGCTCCGTCGCTCCGTAGCAACTCAGCGGCTGCCATGTGGCCGTGCATTGCAGCCAGCATAAGGGGAGTGAGGCCATCCTGAACACCATTGGAACAAAATTGTCACAGCAAGTTCCAAGGTCAAAGTGGAAGTCACAGCAATAGGGAGGACCAAACAATAAATGAACAGAAACACCGTGGTTCCAGTACTCGTGCGTGCGCGGATGTTGATAAAGAAAAGCTCTGACAACCATGCAGCAAAAAGTTGTCAACATGCCCAGCCACATACGCTCACAGACACAAAAACTTTGGAGATGATGAAGAGAAAATTTTTGATAGCGATATGTCAATTCTTGTGTGCAGGTCGAAACAAACAATTGGATTTCGTAAATGGATTCTGCACCAGATTTGCACACCCACTGAGGAAAAGGATAGAGAATGTCATCTCACCTGGGTAGCCTGGTCTATTGACGCACCGTGTTTCAATAGCAGGTCAACGGTGCTGGTGTGGCCGCCTTCAGCTGCCCACATGAGGGCCGTCCAGCCGAGCTGCGCATCACAGGCACCACATGCATGCCTCAGGACATTGAACACACACGAACTGCCTGATGATCACCAGCGTGGGTCCTGCAGCGAAACGCGATCAACATGCCAATGCCACATACGCTCACACAGACAACCTATGTTTCGGGGATAATTGCAAGCATGTTCTTCAGAGCAACAATTTGCCTCTTGGAGTGCAGGGTACAAACAAAGAATTGGACTACATTATCGGATTCTGCACCAAATTTACACAGAAGTACATTCTGAAGTGCCGTTGGAGAAATTGGTAGGCAACGCCATCTCACCACGTCAACCTGGTCTGCCGACACATTGTGTTCCAATAGCACGCCAACGGTGCTGGTGTGACCACCGCGAGTTGCCATGATGAGGGCAGTCCAGCCGTACTGCGCATTACAAACATCACATGCACGCCTCAGGACACTGAACATATGAACTGCCTGACGATCACCAGCGTGGGTCCCACTGCAAAACGTGAACCACATGCCAATGCCACATATGCTCACCCACACAACCAACGTTTTCGGGACAATTGCCGAGCATATTCTTTAAAGCGATACTTTGCCTCTTGGACTGCAGGTCCACATAAAGAGTTGGACTTCATTATCAGATTCTGTGCTGCTGTAGCTAACACTTTGCCTGGTTAGCCATGGCCATGTTGCAAAAGCCGCTAAACTGCCAGGCAACTGATAGCTGTGGTTGGTGAAAGATTGTTACCGGCCCTGATCTGGTGTCGTTTTGACCTGATCTGCATGAATGCCACGCTTGAGGTGGACCCAGCCACAAGCACCCATCCTGGACTAACACCTAATTTGGAATGTTGCACTGTGGCTGTCGTCACCCGAGGTCGACCAGTGCCTGACATCAGGACACCGCCTGCGCTGGTCTGGCTCAATGCATGCGATTGGTAAATGAGCTAGTCTGCCGATCAGCCCAGCCTGAGTTGGATGGGCAGGCAGAACACGAGGGTGCTGGAGGGCAATGGATTCCCCTGGGAGGCAGGCACTGGCAAAGCTAGCAAACATGCACCTTTTGCATCGCTCTGCTCTGCCCCGCAGAGCTGCCAGTGACTGGTTTCTGGCAGGGCTGGCACAAAGGCATTGTGCAAGACAGATGGGCACCATGTGGATAAGGCCCCAGCGACCATCAAGAGCAATCATTTTCGGGACTGGGATCGTCACTGCGATGAACCGCAGCCTCACTGCTGCGGCATGTGGCAATCGCTCCTTGTGTACAGCAGCCAAAGCTCACAACCTTCTGGGACACACTGAAGGCAGCGTCCTCTGTGCGCATTCTAATGCCAGCTGCCTTTGGGACCACATTACACTGGGATGAGTGCTGTCAAAATTACTTCGCCATTGTGGGACAGCCAGGGACTTCATGAATGTCTGACTCTTATTGGACAAAGCCATTCAGTTCGTTTGGATAGCAGAAATGTCTAGGGTTCTCATATGATAAAAAAACAATGTACACTGCCGCTTTGGATGTAGAGAGCCGATTGCCATTTCTTTGCCTCAATGTGTAAGAATTCTTGATGATGACAGCTGTGTTGCCATTTCTGCCCATCGTACACAGCAGTTGCTCCCAGGGTCCTCACCCGGCTGGATGTGGGTCGCTGTGCAATCAGGATGCCCATCGCCTCACAGTCACAGTTTGGGGGGTTTGTGGCAGGCATAATGCTCGATAGCTCATTTCCAGCTTTGACACGATGTGGCATCGACTATGACGCTTTCCTTCAGGGCAAGGGAGCAGGCATTGACCCACTCACCGGCGTTGGCCTTGTCAGCGGAAGAAGAGGTGATCGTCACGGAAACGACAGAGGGACCAATACATTCTCGCTCTGGTGGCCACAAGCATGCGTAGCGGCCCGGTGGGCAGCCGCTCAGCCATGTTGTCTCTTCCTCGTGTTTTACTTCCAGCGTCTCGTTAACTGTCGCCTATTGACTTTGGCGCATTATTGCTCCGCCACAAAGATTCAGCTTTCAGTGAAATTTTGCGCAAGGTTGTGTCCATAGGTTTGGAGTAGAACTCCCCAAGCGTTGTGACATGCAGGTCGCAGGTCACAACCATCAATTCTTCCAGAGTAAACGGCATTTGCGTTTTTCTACACTACTCGCCTGTTAAATTTCGCCAAAACGCGCGTATGATTCCACAAGTTGAGTAAGAGGCAGCCGTATTTTCCAAGCCTGCGTGCCAAGTTCTGGGCTGCCTGCAAAGCTGCATCTGTTGCGACCTGTCGACTGAGCTCTGTGAGCCATTTGCAGCTCTCGGTCAGTCGACTCAGGAACAGACAATAATATTGGAAGCGGTGCAAATTACTAGAAGCTTCCGTTCGGGTGATGGTAAGCCAAACCCTCAGTCACCTTGTCCCAAAAAATGTACACGGTTGCCCAAATACAGCACAATACAACAAGGCCGCAAACCAGCGGTCAGCCATCCCCATGTCACTCAAACGGCTGCCGATAAGCAACGAACGTTCCAGCCAATCGCCAACCATCCCATGATCTTCTCTGTGCCATCCAATCAACAAAGAATAATGCAATGTGCTATCGCAATGTAAGAACCAATGGCTGCCGGAGCTGCCCAACTGCATCACCCAGCATTGCCTCGCAGCCACCCTTGCAAAGGAGGGATGCTACAGTTTCTTCATGGCTGCAGCCATTCTCCACGTCTCTTCCAGCGTCATTATGCCGTCCTCTGAAAGTAACCGGCTCACGGCGGAGGCAGAATGGCCGTCCAGAGGCACCTGTGACAGAAATATGTGCGCGTCGACTTTCGCTTGTGTCACTTGTCACGTTAGCAGGGGCTGCGCCTTCTTTTGAACTCGCCTTTTTGGCGAAGGTGCTGCGCTGTTGCGTATTTTGGCAAAAGCAATCGCGAAAATTTCAACTTCACTGTGGCGTGAGCGTGGGGCCCGACAGGCATACATAGCCAGCTGTCCAACATCTGGACCTGGCGAATCCAGCTGCCCAAACAGTGCCAGGATTGCCTTGGTTGTGCCCCCTCGTTCTAACTGTGCAGGAGTACTTTTGGCAGGTCACACGATCAATCGAACTAAACAGAGGCTGGGTTCCTCTCCAGCACCATTCTTTCTCAGGTGCAGGAAGATGAACTGATGTCGCACTGACATGTGGGCATCAAAATGGAGCACACTCAATGCATCACTTGCGTCGTTCTTCAAAAAAAAGCATCCAACAGTTTTGGCAAAAGCTGTCAAATGGTGCACCAGAGGCATGCAAACACCCACCGTGACCATCAGCCTCGAAGGTTGCAAATTCTACATTGAAATAGCCCAATGGGCAAACGGGTGACACTCTGGCGTGCTTGCAAACATGCAATCAATAGAGAATCGTCTGTACAGACAACCAAAGCAAAACATGGCAATGACATGGTGGAAGCGGCAAACTAACACACTCAAAGATGCCCTATGCCCAATATCGTACCTCAATGTAGTTGTTCCTGTTGGGGCCATCATGATCGGCTGGATAATCTGTGGAACATTTCCACTTCCCATCCATTACGAACTTGAACTGAAACCTGCGCATGCAGCAACCACGGCCGTTTCAATGCCCTGTGCTTCCCCAGTGTGCAACTGCTGCAGCTGCTTCCATCAAGGAGAGATGCTACAAGGGCTGCACTCCAGCTCACAGAACTTGCAATGCCTCCAAACCGCCAGCCAGATCAAGCCTCCAAATTCATGCCTAGATATTCTTGGCCTGAAACATGGTGCATGCCAATGGCAGGGCACATTCCAGGTGTGGCTTCAATGGTGCAAACAGCAAGCATCAGGCCATTTGGGTTGTGCGGTGATAAGATGCAATCGTACGCCAATGCAACGAGTGGAGCTCTATTGAATGTCATGTATGCCAAAACTTGCCAAAGGAGCAGCGCCTGCCATTTCCAGGTGTGGGTTTGTCCCATGTCCACCTGATGCCCAAAGCAGATAAAGCTCACACATAATAGCAAACTGCAGTGGCAGCCCAGCCCACCTTCCTGGACTCAGCAGCCTTCTGGTGACGTATCGCTGGGTTATAGGGTCAAACTCCATGGTCAGGGTGCACCCCCAGCCAACGTCCAATCCTGCAACCTGAGCCAAGGCCACCAGAATGATATCAATCTACCGTTTGAAACGCAAATGAGCACAAATGCATGCCAATGGCAGGGCACATTCCAGGTGTGGCTTCAATGGTGCAAACAGCAAGCATCAGGCCATTTGGGTTGTGCGGTGATAAGATGCAATCGTACGCCAATGCAACGAGTGGAGCTCTATTGAATGTCATGTATGCCAAAACTTGCCAAAGGAGCAGCGCCTGCCATTTCCAGGTGTGGGTTTGTCCCATGTCCACCTGATGCCCAAAGCAGATAAAGCTCACACATAATAGCAAACTGCAGTGGCAGCCCAGCCCACCTTCCTGGACTCAGCAGCCTTCTGGTGACGTATCGCTGGGTTATAGGGTCAAACTCCATGGTCAGGGTGCACCCCCAGCCAACGTCCAATCCTGCAACCTGAGCCAAGGCCACCAGAATGATATCAATCTACCGTTTGAAACGCAAATGAGCACAAATTAACGAGAGCATTCACAGGATTGTATGCACAAGGCTGTGCTGCAACAGTGTGGAGATGTGCAACGTGACCATTGCTCCTGGAAAAGACTTTGACACATGCGGAAATGGTGTTTTCGGCATTCTGCATGGCTGCCTGGGCAGCAATCACAATAACAATGGGATCAAAGCACAATAGAGCAACAAATCCATATGTTGGGCGAATGCAATCCAAGGGAATTCAGCAGGAGCCTTGGATGTCCCATTGAAGCCCACACCTGGACGAGTCTGGTCTCATGTGGTGCCTGAACTGATATCTGCACCTCCTGCTGCGAGTTGCAATAGAGGATGTCGGTGGTTGCCTGGCGGATAGCAAACACCTTTGGCCCGCAGGGCCGCAGATCAACGAGATGGGCAACAGCATCCTGATGGATACACAGCACAACATAGTCAACCCAAACAATGCCAACTTTACGCTCCCTGCTGTTTGAAGAACTCAGTCGGGCCTGGATAATCAGGCTCATTGGAGCACAACAGACAATGGATATGGAGTGGATCGTGCCTCAACACTGAGCGTGGGGCAGAACAGGGTACTGCAGACCAACACAGGCAAAGGGAAGCACAACCAGCCGTTGTCTGTAGATTCAAGGGCAATGCTCCACACTGAGACAGAGTAGTCTACGGGACTTTTCCACAAAAGTGGTAAAACAATGTTGTTGAGCCATGTAAGCTCTGCATTATGCTTAACAAGAAAAACTGGCTGCCCTGATAACACCATGCAGAATGCAATTTGACAATCAGCCTTGCACCAATCACTCCAGTACCTTTAATTTCCATCCTCTGCACCAGTACGTGTATGCGATGGCTGCTGCAGGTGCTCGGCCAAGTCCTGAATGTCGCAACCAACGTACACGCTATGTCAGGCTTGTTCACATAATAGAAGGCAGACAGAATTTCATTTCCTGCATTCGTGTCGTCGCTCTGCCTGTGTCTTGTTTTGATGTACTGAACCAACGATTCATGAGGTGATGTGCACACACCTGCAGTGCAATGAATGTAGATCGTTCCTCCTGCTTGTTCATGTTGTCTTGAGAACTCTGCCACTATCTGCAAATCGATGCAAAGGCTCCCGTCAGACAAATCTTATTGCCCGTGCACTCTGAAGTTGCCCAGCAGTTGGGACTCAATTTGAACCTTGGGGGCCAATCTCCCTGCAGCCTAGTGCGTGACATCGCCCTTGAGGGTGGAAAGGCTGGCATTTATCACTTCAGACGAGTTCAATGGTAACGCTCTCAAAAATGCAAGGAGAAGAGCAGTGGCAAATTGTGTAAAATGCCACCAACAAATGCAGCAGCAACAATGCACCTGGCATCATCAATGCGATGCAACATGGTGCAGCAAACGACAGCAATAACAACTCCTTGCATTCTCTGGACCTTTTCCGATCTAAACAAATGAAAACCAAAGTAAATATGCACCTTTGGTAACCGTTGTCTCAAACTCTTGGGGTCGAAGTCCCTGATGGGGAGGTGAAGGTGCTTTACATCGCCTCGGCTGGCACAGCGATCCTTTATGACAGCACCATCTAGGCCCCAGTATTTAAGGTCGCTCTCTTCCTGCAGGCACACTATGGTGGACACGCCCTCCTTCTCCACAAGCCTGCCAGTCATGCGTACAGTGTCAAGAAGGCATTCGACACCTTTGGTATGCCACTCCTTTTTTTATTCTTTTGGGGGTGGGGGACTCTGATGGTGATTGTACCAATCGAATGGCTGCGCATGTTGACACGTGGCAAAGCACAGCACTCGCACGCGCAAGTGGACTTCTTGCAGTGCTGCAAACTTCAGCTGCCGACCAACTTCTTCCTGCCTTTGGCAAGTCCAATAGTGCAGCAGTTTGGGCACCACACTGGCAAGTCCATATGGCGCCCACAAGGGCTCCCTTGTGGGCAAGCCGGATTTTTCTGCCAACCTTTCACATTTTGCAGGTGGACAGTTGGCAGAACTATAATATGTGAACATAAAACACGTACTGGACTGATACTATGTGCCCATCGCTGTCTGCAAGGTTCAAATACTTTGTTTCTTCTGGGTTCAAAACAAATGTATACCATTGAATTGCAAGTGGGCGAGCAGGGACTCACAACCCAGTCTAATATGCACACCAGCGTGGGCCCCTCACTGGCACAATTGCCTGGCACCCAATGTGCTCCAAGACCAGCGAGTAGGAGCTGATAATGCCAATACATGAAGAAGCCTGCACCTCTGCAACTGACGCCTACCAGTCCACATCCCTTGCAGTTTGTAGGCATGACCCGACGATGATGTCGTCCCACACACGTGTATAGTTCATGCCATCTTGGTGGCGATACTCAAGAGAGGGGGTCCCCATCTGCTGCTGCATCTCCTTGCAGTACTGGACAGACAGGTCTGGTCGTGACAGGCCTGCGAGTAGCAGCATGCACAGGAGAACATCAAGCATGTGAACAGGATGATCTCCAAAGGTGGCATGATACACAGGATGTTCCAAGGCAAGGCAATTTTGGCTTGCCAAGAGTGACAAGCTTGCGATTGCCAGCTGACATCATAGTACCCCCAATACAGTAGCAATGCTTCAGCCAATAGTTGTCACGCTGGCATAGTGTGCTCTGGGATTGTCATGGATATGCCTGCCATGTGCCTCATACCAGTATGCTTTCCTGAAAAATGCTGGTACTGATGCAAAGCACAGGAAGGCGGCAAAAACATGCCCCCCAGAAGGGAAGAAAGGATGCCCAGTTGATAAACAACGGCAGGCAGCAATAGTTTAGCGGGAAAATGGATTCAAGACATTCCACTCCCTGCCGCCTTTGAGGCAGGTTGAGGCCATTAGGAAAAAGTGAAAGAGCACATCTGGCACCAATGAAAAATCAGAGAAATCATGGTGATGCACTTGAAGGAAAGTGTTTGCATGTCAGGTTCTGTGCCCAAGGTGGCCACTGCATACTCAACAATACCATGGCTTGTGCATTTTTGCACACATGAATGCTCCAAAAGGAACTGTGTTGGTTTCAATATGGAGACAGCCTTGGGAGTATAAACCCTAGGTGCCAAGAGGTGCTGATTACTGCCTCATAAATACAGTGACAGTTGTTTGATAATCCTCAAGAAAGTTATGAAAAAATAGTACACCAAGAGATTTGCAGGCAAAATCTTGCAGGCAACATCAGCCCAACAGTAGGCTATACTTGCCTTCAACTTCAGAGCAGGCCGCTGCAGCGATGCGAAATGTGTCCTGCAATGCAACAAGCACTCAGATGTCAGTGCCCAAATGCTCAGCCCGACCTGCCAGATAGTTTCAAGCCTTGTGCAAGTGAAGCAGCCCAGTTGTCTGAACTGTTGAAAATGTTCCGCCATTTTCTTCTTCTCCTTAAGCTGGGATTGACAGCTGTTTATCCAACTGTTGAGCATCTGTCCATGCTGGAAGCATGTTTGAGCCAGGTACTGCCCCGGTGGGAGTGCGCACCTGGCTCAACTGCTGAGAGCAGCCAGGCCCTGTTCTTCTGGTGCCATCCAGGAGACTCCACTGGGTGCGTGCCGGCCTGCTTGAGCTGTTCCAAACAACACACTCCAGAACATTCAAGCCCATGACAATGGTCTATAGACCAGTGCGAGCTCTGCACTGTGCTCAGAGGCCTGATCCCACTGCAAGGACAAGCAACTCCGCTGAAGCACTTGAAGAAGACTCACGAATAGTTGGCTGTTTGTGTCTTTCCTGGGCGCTGTCTCAAAGGGAGGTGACTGCATGCTGTGCCCCAGGTTGAAAGCTTGAAAAAATTTGGGTCTGAATGGTTCACTGGAGAGATGCAGGCTGGCACAATCAGAGAAACCAACCAAATTTCTGACTGCTGCCTGCACCACAGGGCATCCAGCAAACTTCGTTCGTAAATCAGGTTGCTGCAGTGGGTATTTTGGCTGAGTTTCTTCACGTGCACGATCTTGACAGAAATTGCGCAACTGCATGGCCGGTCTGCCCCTTCGGCCAGGTGGCGCATCCCATCTGTCCATCCAGGACGAGCGGAGTCGAAAAAAAATTATTCGAATCCGAAGTCAGGTTCTCAAATTTCTGGGAGGGTGCTGATCGCCGCAGCATGCGACTGAGCAGAAAGCGCCGGCAGTTTTTTCTAGGGCGCGTGCGCACATCACGCAAGTGCGCCCAAGGGGTGCGTGGGCGCTCCAGCGCGAGACGGCACTGGCCGGTCCGCGTCTACCTTCCCTGCCACGCCGGCGGACCGCAGGAACCGACCCGCGGTTACACGAAGTCGCAATAGCTGCTCATCTTGCCTGCCAAATCGTGGGCCCCATTTGGAACCCTGAAAGGGCCGGTCGCCAGGGATGCTCATTTCACAACCCCAATCGGATCCGGCGCCTCGTGCCGACCGCGCCCACCGCGCCGTGTCCGGCAAGCAAAGCGCAAACCCTCTTACCCTCGTTCCATCCGTTTTACAGCCTCGGCGCGCAGCTCAAGGACATGCACTACCCCGATCACGCGACCCCACAGAGATACAACCCCTCCCCCCCCCCCGCTTCCGGGACACGGCACCGCTTCCCACGCTTCGTCCTCTTGCCACCCTCTGGGCAGTTTCCCACCCCACCCCACCCCACACTCTTTTCTGAATCTTTCACCGCGAGCAACACACCCCAGCTGCCTCAAATGACGAAGAATTTTCGGAAGTGGGACGAAACATTGCGGGCGGCCACGACCCCTCCGCGAGATGCCATGCAAAATGCCGCGGAATGGCATTCCCCCGGGCGCACCTGCCGCTCGGCGTCCCGCACAGGGCGGCCACCACGTCCTGGGTGCCGCGAGCACCAGGCGCCGCCCGCGAGGGCCTCATCGACATCCGCCGGAGCGCGCCTGGCCCTGCCACCGCGGCAATTGCACCCAGCGATCCCACCAGGGCTTCCGAGTAATGGATGGCCGACTCAGGGCCGCATGACAGGGCGGCCGTCGGACGGCGCCGGCGCTCTTTCGGGCCCAGCCGAGGCACCCAGCGCGCCGACCCGGCCTTTGGGAGTGTTTGGGTTTTGTGGCAGTCGGCCCGCAGCGGGCCCGGGCGGTTGTGAGGGAGTGGGTTGGGGACGGGGGGCGTGTCGGTGCAAGGGCGGCCGGGAGCCGCAGAGCGCGGGGATGCTTATTGACGGCGGCCAAAAAGGGCGGACACGTGGTGGCCGGGGGTGACGTGGGGCGGGCTTTTCACCCAAGGCCGCCGAAGATGGTGCCGAACCGTAGTTTGGCATCTAAGTCATCAACCCCACCTCGTGGCCACGTATTCAGCCATATCCTCAGATACCCAAAACGGGTAATTCGAGTTGTCGATCCTCTGGGTTCGTGACCCCGCCGTTCTTCTTACTCTCTTCTCTTGTTCAAAGTTCTCGGGCGCAAGCGTGTTTGACGACTTCCCGTGTGTTGTTGAAGAATTCATCGCTAAGCGATTTGAAGATGGTCTGATTGACTGACTGATCGACCAATCGAGTTTTGGAAGACACAGGTTGCACTCCTCCAGCTGAAGCGAGGGCGACTGGCTACGGGACATGCCACCAATCAGCCCCTGCCCGAAGTGAGCAGAGCCTTACACGTCGGGATGGACCTGGTGCTACAGTACTGGCAGCAGGAAATGCCTGCTCAGGATGGTAGCCAGTTCAGCTGCGACGGCAGCAGCCAGGTTCCTGACAAATGCGAGCGCCATGCGGCTGTGCTGCTACTGAAATATAGGAGAAGGTGGGGAGGCCGTGAGCCTTGATGTCCCACGGTGAGGCATGCCCTGCGCAGGGAAGTGAAGCTGCCCACAGTTCTTGGAATCGTGACTTTGGACTTTGGCAAGAGAATTCGACGTGGTGCAGCCGATTCTCCGTTGGGAATCACAGATCAATACCGGGCAACACAGGGCAGGGGATGAACATTCCCCACTCTGGCGAGCCGGCCTGCCACTACCACAATTCAATGTGCGTGGCTACATGCAACACCACCCCAACGTGCAAACCGATCTGGCATCCAGTTACGAGACAACCTGCGAAAAATTCGTTCATTTTTAGTCATCTCGTTCATGGAGGCCATGCCAGCCATTTTTCCTCTGTTCACACACCTGGCACCACAACCGCCCTGCACCTTCCTGCATCCAAACCCTTGCCCACTGAATTTGCTGCACGAAGCAATGCACACCACAACGTGGCACACCCTATGCGTCATCCTTGGGCTCCCAGCCAATGTGCCTCCAGTTCTCGCCCGCGTACACTGCGTCAGCCCCCAGCTCTTCCTCGATCCGCAGCAGCTGGTTGTACTTTGCCAGCCTCTCACTCCTGCAGGGCGCTCCCGTCTTGATCTGGCCCGTGGCCAGGCCCACAGACAGGTCGGCGATGAAGCTGTCCTCTGTCTCGCCAGAGCGGTGGCTGGCCATGATGCCCCAGCCAGCCTCTTTGGACATCCTGACAGCCTCGATGGCCTCAGAAACAGATCCGATTTGGTTGACCTTCAGCAGGAAAGCAACTCAAAGGGAATCAGGCAAACAGCAGTTCACAACTGGACTCAAGTCCAGATATCGTTTTCTACCAATAGAGATGGTATAGTTGCATGAGTCTGGGACATTCTCTGGATGTGTATGGACCATTCATCACCTTGAAACTGCAGCTCTTGCAACACGAGCAAACTGCATCACTACTACGTTCGCAGTGACATCTGGGCCTTGCCAACCAACTGTGCAGGTGGAAGGGCAGTGCTCTGACTTTCGACAAACTCAACTGCAGGATCCACACCTTCAGCAGCAGGGCGCTGCAGGTCTTCTTCTCGATGGCTTCCTGCACGCGCTTGGGGTTGGTCACTGTCAGGTCGTCTCCAACGACTTGGCAGACACCTTCAGCAGTCAGGGCACCAGTGTTGTCCCAGTCGTCCTGGTCAAAGGGGTCCTCGATGGTGATGACAGGGTAGTTGGAGCAGAAGCCCTTGTACATGTCCAGCATCTCAGCTCCTGTCTTCTTGGCTGAGCCATCATTGTCTGGTGTCTTGAAGTTGAGGTCATACATCTTATCCTCTGTGCAGAACTCGGAGGCAGCGACGTCCATCCCGATCTTCACCTTCCCTACAGACGCCAATCATAGCAATACAGATCAAAATATGACATATTGAATCATGAGGACAGCCAGAGCATGGGATACAAATTCAAGATCTGGAATTGGAATTACAGTTGTACGGGAACTGCTGGGAATGCCTTTGTAGCTAACCAAAATCAATTGCAGAAACAAAGTTCACATTGCGTGTGCCCTCTGGTGGGTAATACACAGAGAGAATGTTCCCCTGAGGCTTATGATTCGAAAGGCATGGCCAGTGACATTCCTGTCCTTCAGCCATCAACAGGACCAGGCTTGTAGCATGGGAATAATCTTTCACAGCGATAGCAGCCAACGACCAGCCACAATGGGAGATTCATGCATAGCTTCTGTACAGTGGAAAAAAAACTTTTGCTTGTGAGAGGATCGCCCATTGTATTATACGCTTTCCTTGTCATTGAGATAGCACATTTCAAACCCCAAAAAGGAGCAGGGCTGGCAACCACCGCCCTCCTGAGACTTGCCTGCATACTCTGCCTTGTCGATGGCCTGGTTCACCAGGTTCAACCCCTCTTCATTGGACCCGATGTTCGGGGCAAACCCCCCCTCGTCCCCCACGTTGCATGCGTCCTGCCCATACTTCTCCTTGATCAGCGCCTTGAGGTGGTGGTACACCTCGCACCCCATCTTCATTGCCTCCGTGAAGGACGCTGCCCCCACGGGCAGGATCATGAATTCCTGCATTGCCAACGCGTTGCCTGCGTGGCTGCCCCCGTTGATGATGTTGAACGACGGCACTGGCAGGACCAGCTTGCTGTTGCCTGCGATGTCAGCGATGTGCTTGTACAGGGGCACCCCCTTTTCAGCAGCGCCCGCCTTGCACACCGCCATGGACACGGCGAGGATCGCATTGGCGCCCAGGGCACCCTTGTTGGGCGTGCCGTCCAGGGCGATCATCTCATCGTCAATCAGCTTCTGGTTCACGGGGTTCTTCCCAATCAGCAGGGGGGCGATCTTGGTGTTGATGTTGTCCACAGCCTTGGACACCCCCTTGCCCATCCAGTGAGGCTTGTTGCCGTCGCGCAGCTCCACAGCCTCGTGCACACCTGTGGACGCGCCGCTGGGCACCGCAGCGCGAAAGACCCCCTTTGCTGTGTGCACGTCTGCCTCCACGGTGGGGTTGCCTCGGGAGTCGATGATCTGGCGGCCCACCACTTTGGTGATGCCCGGCGCCGACAGGTTGCGTAGGTAGTCCGCCATGAAGCCCACGGGGTCATCGGGCTTGGCCTTGACGCAGGCGTTGATGGCCTCCTCCACCGTCTTGGGCAGGCTGTGCCTGTCGATGTACTCTTGCACGCTCATCGTGGCGATGGACCTACAGGGAATAAACACCACACCTCCTTGCCACCTCCTTCACCTGATCAGTCATGTTTTCTTATTGATTGATTGTGGAGCGCGTCAGAGCCTAATCGAACGCCGCTGTTCCGGGGCTCCTTTGGGGGTGCACAGGAGACGTCGATGTCGCCATCAGTCCCCATCGTCTCAGCGACGACGCCCACGCCGGCTAAGTTCCTCGTGTCACATTCCCGTCACAAGACAAGCCGCAACCCTTCCGCCCCGCAGGCCATGACGCGCACACGCCCATCCAAAACGCTCCCGGGTCGCCAGGGGTGCCAATCCGGACGCCGCTGCCGGCAGCGTCCGACGCCCGCCACACCTCCGACCTCGGATCTCGATCGAAAGCTCCCGGGAAGCCGGGAGAGCGTCGCGCAGGATCCCGCGCGGGGACTGCGCGCGAGAGGCGTGGGGAATTGCACGGCGCGGCGGCGGCATCGCGAACGGCGGCAGGCGTCACGGCGGCAATCAGAGCGCTCTTCGTCTGGAATCACACGACGCATCCCACCCCAAGAGCCGCAAACACGTGGAAAATGCGCAGCTAGGTGGAAGCTGATCTCCCACAAGGCGAAACGCCTGCAGAGCCAAACAAGAGATCCGTGGAGCCCCTAGGCTCCGCGGCGCCGCGAGCGCGGAGATCGCCCGGCCGGTATCTGACAGCCCGGCGCTTCACCTGCGCCGGGATCCAACGTGGCCAGGGGCGGCGTCCGGGGGGTGGGGGTTGCGCCCCTCGGTCGGCAGCCAACGGAGCAACCCGGTCGCCAGCCACGCTCCGCCTTTGGCGCGTACAAGGAGACCCCACGAGGTCCCTTGAGATTCGGCATTTGGCGCGCGAGAGAATATTTGGCCACCACTGTACTTTGAGCTACTATTGCGCTACTATTGCGCTACGATTGCGCTACGATTGAGCTCCGATTGGGCTACCATTGAGCTACCATTGAGCTACGATTGAGCTACGATTGAGCTACGATTGAGCTATGATTGGGCAACGATTGGACTACGATTGCGCTACGATTGAACTACGATTGGGCTACGATTGGGCTCCTATTGAGCTACTTTGCGCTACTGGTGCGCTGTACTCTGAGTGCGGCCACTGCTTTTTTCCACCGCGCTCACCCGTTTCTTTTCCGCCGGGCCGGGCTCCTTGTCCCGCCCAGGTCCACACACACACTGGACCAATACATTACAAAGACATTGTTTCTCCCAATACAACCCGAGGTACCCACAA